CAGGAAATGCCTTAGACCTCCGACGTCAAATCCGCTTTTTTGAACCCCTATCTTCGGACTAGCCATGTTTCTTCCACTGGTTGATTTCCAGTCTGCCTCCATGTTGGATGGCACCTCCTCCAGTCAAAGTCCAGACCCCTATCCACCATTCATATCCACCACCCATTTAGCATTCACCTTGTATTGGTATCCATTACCCTCCTTGTAGGGGAACTCCGTCTTTCATGATGGTTTTCCTACCAAGTGTTCGGGTTTTGATTCCTCTGACAATGGCCCGCTCAGGTTCCTGCCTCCATTTCCAGATGGCACTCTTTCCTCCGCTCTAGCCCCTATCTGCTCTTCCACCTTCCGGAAGTTTGCTGTCGATTCTCCCTTGATGTTTGGAAGAGATGCCTTGCCTTCCATCTTGTCCCATGCAAATTCCTGACCATTTCCTGGCTTCATTATCCACCTCCGGACCTTCGAACCAAAACTCCGGAGCTCGTCCGATTCATTCTCCGGAAGTAGGTCCTGGAAAACCATCTGTTCCTCTCCAGAAGCCTGTTAGTCCTTACATCCGACTTCCTGTCCGAATCAACAAACTTTCCGAACCTCTCCGTGTTTTACCCCTATTCTCCGGACCTCTATTGGCTTTCTTGATGAAGGTCTCCACCACTCTGATCCATACCTCCGGTTTGCTCCTTGTCATCTCTGAACTTTTCCGGACGAGAATGAACCTTCTTCGCAATTGTTCTTTATGGTTAATGATACCATGTCCACTCCAGTTCCTGCCCATATTCCCTCCGGGTCCGGAAAATTGCTGGAGATAGCTCCGGATGTCCGGACTTTTCAGTACCAAAGTATTTCTTCACATTATAGCTCATCCGTCCATTCCGTTGTCAAATCTCCATGTTTCCGAAAGATCCGTTCACTCCCGTGCTCCAGGACAAGTTACATCCTCTCCGGATCCGAAAAACTCCTATGGGTATTCTACGCCATAGCCTGGACATGTTTCATACAAATGTCCATCCTCCATCCCCACTTTTCCACTCTGTAATCCTTCCATCCATCCTCCCGTCCTTTTTTCTCCGGATACCAATGTCCGACCTTTACCCCTATTTCCGGAGCTCAATACTCCGGATTTCCGGTGGCTTTCTTCATGGAAGCTCCTACTCCCACCTCCAATGCACCCCTTGTCTCTGGACTGCCTCCATTCAGAACAGATATATTTTGCAATAACTTGTAGTTGTGTTAAGACCGTGCACAAAGGGTAGGACTGATTCCAAGGGGCTTGGCTTCAGCTCATGCGCTGCGCCCCTTACCCGAGTATGTGCCCTTAATTTCAGAATGATGTCCGAAGAAAGTCCAAGGACGTCCGAAGGACATCCGAAGCGCGGGAAAGTTCGGAAGGACTTTCCGGACGAGCGCGGGAAAGTTCCAGAGGAACTTCCGGAAATTATGATGAGGTTTCATTCTGATACAGATACGTATAATGGCTACTTAGGACAAGTCCTAAGTAGAAGCAAACAGAGGAAAGGCTGCAAGGACAAAGTCCGAAGCAGAATAGGTCCGGAGGACCGCGGGAAAGTTTCGGATGAATGTCCGGAAACTTCGGAGGATCAGATGAGCAGATAAGCGGATGAGCGGATAAGCAGAGCTCTGGCCTAGGGAATTTCTCCCTAGGCCCGAGATGGATATTGACTAAGTCGATAGACTAGAACTGATATGAGGACTTTAGAGTGAGATCTAGTGCGAGGACTAATATGATATTCAGACTGAGGGACTACAGGACATATACAAGAGTTTATATACTAAGGAAATAACGGAAAGATCAGTAAGCAAGCATCCGAGGCTATGTATGAAGCATAAGCAATGTTATCAAGCGCGAGTCGGAAATGAAGCATAGGTTAACGGATCAGTAAGCATACCGGTAGTAAGTATAACCGAGATACTGAGGACAAGGAATACCGAATAGAGGAATAGGCTGTGTTAACGTTATATGCACAGGAATTGAATTAGGAAGCTTATCGTATATCGGATCAGATCAGATCGGACCGGATTGGACCGGATTGGACCGGACATCCGGATGAGATGCGTGGATATATGGGATATGACATTAGGGTGATGGGACAGAGGATGACTGATGCAGGCTAGCTGAGGTATGGAGGTAAAGGGATGTGGATGTGGATGTGGATGTGCAGAGGTGCAGGGATCCGGATGGATAGAGGACTGGAGACATGGATAGGGCGTCCGAAGGTCCGAATGAGGCGTGGGAATATTGTCGGATGTAAGTCCAGAATATGGGATATGACAAGTTGCTTCGGAACCACTTTCGCTCCCATCCGAGCTACTGTCCCATAGTCCCTCACCATTCAATAGTGCCTTCTCTGGAAACCGCTCCGGCTCTGGAAAAGCACTGGTGATACCTCTGGAGTTTTCAGCACCTCAGTCCTGCTTTGCATTATATCTTCCACATCCGTTCCTGTTCACTCTTGTGGCTCACTTTCAGTTTCCTCCGAAAATCCAGAGCTCCTGCCGGATCCCTGTGCCATTTTTCCTCCATTGATGTTTGGAAACATCTCCCAAAGGGGGGGATAGGGACTCCGCTTGAGTATTCACTTCACCCTCATCAGCCTGTGTTCCACCCGGAATTTACTTGCTCCGTCCCATAAAAGAACAATTTCCACTGTCTTGCGCAGTCATCCATGCATGTGCAGCTTTCCTATCCGACCCATAACCTATCCGGACCATTCAGTTGTATTTCCGGCCGGATCAGCTCCGGAACACCGCGGGAAAAGCGCACATTACATTGCATATCATTGGAAAACATCCCGAACTATTCATCCATGATCTTTCTAGGCCATTGATAGTCATCCAACACATTTGACTTCACTGCCTAGTGTTCCATCGTGTTTGACTGCACTTCCACCTCCTATGGGTTTCCACGCCATAGCCCCTATCATCCAGAGCTCCGGAATTCCGAACCACTTGCAAACACCTCTGTCCTATCACATACATCTCCTCCGATGATCTGTTCTCTTCCTCCGCTTTTCCGACTCAATATCTGTTCTGACTCCCATCAGATACTTCACCATAGACCCTGACATTGCCAAATACTTACGTCCGGACCTCCTATCATGTTTTCCGACCACATCCAACCCTAATCTGACAAACCCACTTCCAAGTCCACTGTGTCACCTCCACTGATAAAACCGACTATATATCCCTAGTTAACGCAGTCGCCTGTTGCAGGACTTGCGAGCTAGAAGGATCTGGTCCATTTCAGTATCCACCTCCACCTGACCAGTGTTGACCTCCGGACCATTGATTTCCGGTCCGTTGCATCCCTTCCAAAACCTCCTGGAAAGCATTTCCGGAGTTCCATTGGAAAATTGCGTCTTTGCAGATGTTGTCAATCCACGCAATCTCTGGCCCATCAAACAGCTCGCTCCATCCTTTATGAGCCTATACACTAGCTATACTTCTGCTCTAGCAGCTGTACCAATGGATATTGAATATTCCGGAAAGACATCCTCTCTGCACTCCCATCCTTTTTCTGCATTTCCGACCCTCCGCGTTTTTGACCCTTTGTGTTTCTGATCTCCGTGTTTCCGACCCATTCCTCCGCTATCATCATCCTTCTGTCCGACTCCTGTTGGTTCCCACGCCATAGCCCTACTCCAGACCATTTTGGATCCATCCGTCCCATCATAAGGTTTTCCATCCACCACACACATTCCTCAAAGGCCTTGCACCGGATACAAAACCCTGCTGAATTGTAATGACTTTCAGTGCACCTGGAAACTCCGTCCATGACCTCTCACAGTGTGCAATCAATGCTCCGGAACCTTTCCGGTCTTAGGGGCTAATTTCCGGAAGCACACAGTCATATCCAGCAGATTCCTCTGACACACTTCTGGCTCGAGTGATAGCACACATTGCAGATTGAAATCCATTCAACCTCAGACCTCTGTACAAAGGAAATCATGCCTCATAGCACTCCTTTCTCACTTCCTGCACTCCGGAAGTTCATCAGTCATCATGCGATTACATCTCTGATCATTTTCCGGTCATAGGGGCTAATTTCCGGATTTCCAATGATGCACTTATCCTTAGCTGTACCTCAGTACAAGCTCTGCTTCATGGAGAAAGATATGTCTCACAGGACTCCTCTGTCACATCAGAAAGAGGCCTGCATTGCATCCACTCTTGCCCTCTTGTCCTGCACTCGCTGCATTTCCACTGTCCTGACATAACCTCCTCCACTCCGTGAGCTTCCTCCGACTTTCCCGTGCTTTTTCACCTTCGGAATTATCCTCAAAGTGTTCCAGACTTCCACTCCAGAAACCTATTTGTCCTCACATCCCATCGCCATTCTTCACCCCCGTCTATGACGTCCAGTTTCCAGATGAAGTACTAGGCATCATAACAAACCATGTGTGTGTCAGGAACATTTCCGAAACCTCCGGAGATTTTCAGCTCATAGGAACCAATCCTCCGGAATCCGTCCATCATTGTCCTTTGCCATATACCAGCGATTTCTGTTCCAGACTTCCTAAGTCATCAGCCTCGAGGGCTCGGCCTTAAAGGGGGGATACTGTCATATCCTGCATTCCGGACCAACATCCGACGATGTTCCCACGCCTCATCCGGACCTCCGGACCTCCTGTCCATGTCTCCAGACCCAATCCTCTATCTGTCCGGATCCCTGTACTCCTGCATCTGATATCTGGATGCCAGATCTGATATCCACATCTCCCGATCTCCGGATCCGACCTATGCTTCATAGCCTAACCCAAACCTTAAATCAGCGCTCATCCCCTTATGGTAATCACCTGTCTCCGGACTTCCGAACATCCGGATCTGACGAGTATCAGGTGCCCTGTTCCAACTCGGAGCCTTGATCGGTTCGAAAATGAGGTAACATTCAAGTCCGAACATCCGCAGCACCAAACCCCCCGTACACCATCGCTTCGTATACAAAATAAATGATTATAAAACTACCATTGGATTATATATATCTAAGACCTACGACGGACGGTGCCCACACTCCTCTCCTAGAATGTGGGCGGTCAGCGCACTCCGAACCAGTATCTTGCCGCATCCATCACATGCCTCCATCATCCCGAAGCTATCTTCGTAACTCACTCCCATCCCCATTGAAAGACGAGTTAACACATCTCTCTCGTGCGCGGATAGCTGTGGTTTGTTCGAACGAGACGACCCTGTGATCTCATGGGACGCAACCTTGGTTGCAGATTGGCGAGCGAGTGAGACTTTGGATGAAGTCTTGGTGTCTTTATTGTAACACTTAGTAATGTGTACATTATTTTGATCTGAATACTCACATGGTTGTTGACGATGTTGGTGAATGGCTTTGCGAGGTGTATGTGGGGTTGGTGTACATATTGCAGAGTGGCTAATGCCACCACGAAGCTGAGGATAACCAGGGAAAATACTTTCATGTATGCCGCAGTAGCCTGTAAATATTGGGGCAACTTCTGTCAACGAGTAAGGTTGCTGTCCAAATGTGTCGCGGAACGTCGCAATGAGTGCAGGGAGATCTAGAATACTACTGCGCCCTATGAAAGTATTGAGAAGAGAGAGATTGAGTACAGTTTTTTACTTACAGCGTGTGAGGATGTTTTTGTAGCGTGAAGTTAATAATGCAGTGGCTCGAATGTTATTCAAGTTCACTGATTGGGCTGTGAGGAACTCGTAAGATGAAGGAGAAAGAATGAAGACCTACAGTAGAAGCCGCAGCGATTATTTACATCATTGCAGCGCACAACAACATCTCCAGAGATAAACTCATGGATGAAACGCGCTGGAGTGGGCTGACTGGAAACTATACCACAGAAACACTCAAATGTGAGACCGCGACGCTCGAGCCAGTAGAAAAAGCCCTCTGGTGTAACACGGTAACCTTGACTAGTCTGTGGGCTAAGAGGATATTGTGAGCAATAGGAAAAAAATGAACACACAACAAAATACAACTTACTAGGCAATGGTCACGACCTGACCAACTTCTCGAGCATAAACGACGAGTTCGTTGGTAGCACGTTGCGCAGCGATGCAAGGGTGAAATACAGGGTTGATGCAGGTTACCATGATTGCAGACTAAAGATGTGTGACTGTGAAGATAGCAGCTCGAGTTGAGACAAAAATGAGATAGGTAGATGCCTGTCGAACTTACCAGTTTATATAGTGATGGACTGGTGGTAGACTTGATCTACAAGCGATGGCTGCAGCTAACCGTGCTCAATATCAGGGTGAACTAGAAGATGAGGAAAAAAACTTACAGATCTGAGTCAATGAGAAAGAGCGACAGCATCGGCATTGATATCCGAATGGTGGATGTCATTTTCGAGACAGAGTGACAGGCGTCGGTACTGATATCTGAACAGCGGCTGTCATTTGGGCAACACTGCAGCAGCAACACGTTAGACTTGGCATTGGCCAGAAGCAAGAGAAGCACAACCGCACAAGAACTAGTCTCCATAATATCGGACTGCATTCTAGGGTGCATGGAAATGTCTTGGACTTGAACTTTGGTGTCATCAATGTTCACATCAATTAATGAAACTTACGGGCCCATATATTAGTTCCATGATTGTGAAAGTTTTAGGCTGCATCGTGTCTTGAAATTGGCCGTGTACCATGCGTTAATCTGGGCTTCTGTGCTAGGTGACTGAAGAAGAACACCATGAGGCGCTGATAGTAGATACGATACCGCAAACACTTACTGTCATCCAAATTAGGCAACACTTATCATTCTCCAATACTAACATTTCGGACTTCATGCAAAATCTGCCGACCTTCAAGCTGTACTATGTATATGGTAGATTCGTATTTAAGGCCCCAACACTTCATTGAAATGTCATACTACTCTCGTCTATCATGTCAAACCTCTCTGATGCGCAACTCGCTGCTCTCAAAGCTGCACAGGATATACTCGATAATGCTGGTCTTTCACCTCTTGACCTCAATACCGATTTACCTTCTTCTCGTGATGTTTCACCTGCAGCTTCTTCTGTGTCAGTACAACAACCAGCAAATCCAGTCGCCAGAGGTCATGGCAGCACGCTACTGCCCACAACCTGCTCGATTATTCACCATAGACGAAATTGCACAAGGTTGCAACAAAGTCAATCGCGAGACTAGTGTTGATGCCATCATCGAACATCCTCTTGGTGCGATTGTCGAGTATCCTCAAACTGGCTCTGCACCAGGTGATGCAGTTGCTCACATTTTCCACGTCAACCCCGATCCTAAGTTATTTATCCACCCGAAGTCTAATTTACAATATTCTCTTGGTGATTCTCACAATGGACGTCAAAATGCATGGTGTTTTCTACTCAAAGACCCTTTCGGCAAGTCTGTTCTTTGCTCAAAGCTGAGAACATCATGTGAGTATATTTTTCTGCTCATTTTTACTGCTATTTACCAGCTGCGAACAGGCAAAGGACTGAAACTGTGCTCAGCTCGAACTGATGACTGTCTCCCTCATGACTATGTCGACCGTCACTCATTCAACACTACTTCGCCACTTTCATACTCAGATTCACCTCAAACTGAGGCGCAGAAGGAGGTTTTTTTGAAGACACTCAATTTCTTTTGTGCTGTCAAAGACAAAGGTTGCTCGCTATCATTCGAAAGTAATCCTGATGATTCTACTAATGAGTTATTGATGTATCATACATCGGAAAGTGCTGACTCGGACTCGGACTCTGAGTCTGAATTTGATGTTGATGCACTATCGAGCCGTCGTAAACGGAAGCGCAAAATGTGCAAGGGCAGCCTTGTGATGCACATTGATCGATTTAACCAACCTTTCATTCAGTGAGTACCAACTGAGTTTGGCAGACAATACATGTGCTGAACATCTATAGGTGTGAGTATTTCTCAATGCCGACACAACGTGCACACCTTGTTCTGCGAAACTTGCAAGAATTCGATATTCCATACCTCCAGGCATTGCTCGAAAACAACCAACAATGTATTTTTCAATTTGAAGAAATTGCACGTGCCCATGGTTATGGCCCTTTGGCACCCTGCACGTTCATGGCCTCCCCTGTTGAGCAAAAGCAATTGTGCCGTGAGTGTTGTAGCCCCAAGTTTTGGTTTGTGAATGCTAAGTTTTCTCAGCGTACTGGCACCGAAAGAGGGATGGGGTACTTCGTCAAGGTGTTCTTCGAAAATGGACCCATAAATGTACCACAACATATGATATCTATGTCCCAAATGACCTTTACAATTGTCCACGTGTTCTTGTCGTCTCACGAAACCCCCATTCTCATGCACCCCCACTCCCCATCAAGACACCTCCTGCAATAGTCAAATGTTTCAGTTCACTTCTCTTGCGACTCGAATGGAAATTGGCTGATGCAACCCCTCTCCGGCTGGTTCTTGACTCTGGGTTTATGCAAGAACTGTGATGTGTCCTTGGATGGAGTCCCACAATAGATTTTGATCCACACTTGGAAGACTTACATCCATCTCTTGGAAATCTCGATCATGTACGACGACTAATAAATGTTATGCGTATGGACCATTTCCCTCATGGAACTGGATTTGATGGTTAGTTTTTGTCATTGTCATTCGATGGTTCTCACATCAACCTTACAGGTGCTAAATTACTTGTTGACCAGCAAAAAATGCTTCCACTTGAACGACAATATATTCGTTGTGCGGAGACACATGATATACCCAATGCAGACTCGAGCTTCCGCCTGGTCATTTGCATGACAAGTCGCATGTCACAACACCTCCTTTCGTCGAAGCGCTTGTCCATAGACACATCATTCAAACGTGTCCGAGGATGGCAAGAGTTTGAGATAGAGTCTTGGGATGATGGTCACATGCGCTGTAAGTTTCCCAAACATTGAACTTGTCTTCATTCTTACCGACATTTTATAGCTATGGTCTCAGCTCGTGCTATGACTACTTCTCAAACAGCTGAAGCTCATTTGATTCTTTTTCGGCGAATTTTTGAGATTGCAACACAAGACACTGGTGTCCCAGTAGCTTTCCGTCATATTCATGGCTTTGGTATTGAATCCATCATTGCTGATGGTCACCGTGGGCAAGCAAAGGGTATGTAACTGTCTACTAGTACACAATAACAAATCGAACTTTTGTCTCCTTCAGGCTTAGGCATGTATTGTGTCGAGGTCTCTCAAGGGCAGTCCAAGTTCTGTATCTTCGAGCCTCATCGTCGTATTTGTGACTTGGATCCTTATGGGCACCTTCACCGGTTTTACCGTTTGTGCATTACACACTTTAAAAGAAATATTTTAGCGCTTTGCAGTCAAGTTTCAAAAAATGTCTATAATGCGATGTTAAGCCTCGCATCTGCAGAAGCCCACCCCAATATTCAAACGACACTCTCTATTATTCGTCGAGGTGGGAAAAAAGCACAAGGTAACAGATTTATCTTAAAACATCATACATAACACCTTATAACATATTGATATCGTAGCATGGCTCAAAGACAAGGAATCTTCGAAGTTTGCATTGCCGGCCATTTACTGGCCAATGAGTCTCATACCCATCGCAATATGGAAGGCATCACCGACGACTACAAACGGGAATGAGCAAGCACACCGCAACATTAATCGTGATGGAATCAACTTAACATTGCTTGCAGGAATCATGCATGGATACCAATATGATGTCCGTGCTGCATCTAGCATTGACCTCCATATCATGCATGGGATTAACACTCGCGATAACGAATCAACACATTTATACCGGGCGAAGCGCTCTGTGAGTCGACAAAGTAAGCACAAAGTGAACATTTTTAACAGTATATACTGACACGATTGATAGTTCGATCCCAGAAACAACGAATCAAATCTCATTCCCGGCCTACAAGTCATACTAATCATCAAATCAATAACCTTCAACTGCCCTTCACTCCAGACACACTCGCCTGCAAGGTCAACCAAGACCGCTTCGCACAGAGGTCAAACACAGACAATAAAGATATGCCACTGTCGACATACAGCACACTGACATATGCATTGACGCCAGGTGCCGGTATCGTTGACTATCGTATTTCGAGACATCCGACATCGAGAAAAGAACCTGAAAGTCAGACATGGACATGGGCTTGTATTAGCATGTACAGCAGTCTAAGCGGGGCATTGGGGAATTCTTGAGTAGTGGAAGAGATAGGCCAACGTGCGCGACTTACCAGTTTGCATAACTCATCTAATTTTTCTTGGCGGAGAGCAAGAATTGAATGCGAGGATACTAATTTGCGTAATTCGTTTTGATGGAGAGAGCAAGGATCCAATGCAAGGATACTAATTTGCGTAATTCGTCTTGATGGAGAGAGCAAGGATCCAATGCGAGGATACTAATTTGCATAATTCGTCTTCGTCCATTTTATCTTGACAGAGAGAACGAGGATTAAGTGCGAGAAGAATATAATAATTTGCGTACCTTATCAATTTTTTCTTGGCGGAGAGAACGAGGATTGAATGTGAGGATACTAATTTGCATAATTCGTCTGGACAGAGAGCAAGGATTGAATGCGAGGATATGCCAATTTTGCGTGACTCGTCCATTTTATCTTGACAGAGAGAACAAGGATTAAGTGCGAGAAGAATATAATAGTTTGCGTACCTCGTCAATTTTTCTCTTGGCGGAGAGAACGAGGATTGAGTGCAGGGATACTCATTTGCATAGCCCTTCAATCTTCTCGAATGAGATGATTCAGCGACATAGACGATGACGCAAATGGGAGGGACGACACACGTGGGGGCTCAAAGGCAAGGAGTATATAAACACGATATTTTTAATAAAGGAGTACAAAGGAAATGGCGTAGACGGACCGGTTCCGAACGTTGTCGGGGTCCCTCGGTGGTATTCTGTTGGTAACTGAGAGCTATTAAGCGAAAAAGCCCCGAGTTGGAACAGGTAACACAACACCGGATCTGACCCACGTCTATCTTCCGTGCCTTTTCCCTTTGTACGTTCCTTCTCAAGTTAGACTATACTCATTTTCTGTACCTCATTTCATTTCTGACTTTATTTTCCTATGTTCTCATCTCCATCTTCATTTACTATTTTCTACATGCTCTGTCCACAGCCTCACATAGCTTCGGACTGCACTGACTGATTCTCCATTAAGTCCTCAGTAGTATATAAACCCCGTAGAATCTTTGTACTTCCTTAGTCTGAATATTACACATATTAGTCCTTGCACTAGCCTTCACCCTAAGTCCTCGTAACAGTTCTAGTCCTCCGACTTAGTAATTATCCATCTCAGGCCTAGGGAGGAATTCCCTAGGCCGGAGCTCCGCTCCTCCGCTCCTCCGCTCCTCCGCTCCTCCGCTCCTCCGCTCCTCCAATCCTCCAATCCACCATTCCTCCAATCCTCCAAGTTTCCGGAAGTTCCTCCAGAAGTTTCTCGCACTCATCCGGAAAGTCCTTCCGAAGTTTCCCACGCTTCTCCGGAAGTCCTTCGGACTTCACTGGACTTTCTCCGGACTTCATTCTGAAGTTAAGGGCACATACTCGGGTAAGGGGCGCAGTGCACAAGCTGAAGCCAAGCCCCTTGGAATCAGTCCTACCCTTTGTGCATGGTCTTAACACATGCCTCGCCAAGCAATCTCTCCTTTTCTGGCACATCACATTCATTTTTGAACCTCTTCCGCTTCTCGCATAACATATGTGATGTTACAGTTTCACCTTTATGTTCCATGTGCTGGATCCATAGCACTAAGGCACGCTCAACGTCTGGTCGAGTGACAACTCTCGGCCGTTTCGCTGACAGTGCGTTTGGGTTCTCATTGATGTGAGCTTCCATATTTGGGCGGGTTCGTAATTTGCGAGAAAGTGTTGACTGATCGAAGTTGAGTGCACCGGTTGGGAGTGATTTGAAGTGTCGGACAATGTCAGCCTGGCTGGCATGAGGATGAGCATCAACAAAGGCATAGACTGACAGCCAGTCAGCAAGAGTAAGATTTTGACATGAATTTGAGCATTTAGGAGGTCGAGCAGATGTACGACTCGGAGGAGTGTCACTTGTAATCTTCTGCTTCTTTGCAGGTCGAGTGTATGCGGCAGGCTTATCGTGTGGCTTCCATTTCAAGTTTAAGGACATTTTTACGAGTCAGGACATCAATTCATTCCACACTTACATAGCTGAGCAGGACAATGCGGGTAGAACAATGGTTCGAGCGCTACTCACTATGTCTCGTTGCCCTAGTTACGACCCTCTGATAATGCATATCACCCATACAATAGCAATGCATTATTCCTTATGCAATATGTCTGCATTTTTAGTCCGCCCATGCTGGGATCCTCAAAAGTCCGTGCATTATGACATATATGCATAATGACAATATGCAGTATGAGCATATCAACTGTAGTAAAGAGCCCACACACCCGCGGCGCTAAACTGTGGGAGTGCATAAACACATTTTCCCTCGGACCGGTGTTTCCCAGAAACCCCGCTATAGTGCGTAAATGTAGAGCTAGACTTAGTCACACATCGGCGGTTTCCGAATTTTTCTGCAAGCCAGACTTGAATCCAAACAACATTGATAAAGAAAGGATTTTCAATTCAAATTTCGACGTGGGAACGATGACAAATTTAGATGTTGGTGAAATTGTAGAGCAAAGTAACACATTTTGACAAAGATTTCAAGTCCTGTATAAATAGATAAAGGTATTTGAAGTTTTCCGCCAGGAAAATGACAAAGCAGATATGAAATTTTGTAATCCAATTTTGTCTGTAAGTAAATGTATAATTTGAGGCGCAGAAAATGTTCTGTAAAATATTATATAATGACTGACATTCATATCCTGTTGAAAAACTCAAATTTTCTTAATGGTAAAATGTGATTACAGAAAATGCAAAGTTTTATGCATGGTCAAAAGACCTGCGCATTCAGCGGGTATTCATCGCACACTCATAAGGGATTCGTCGTGCATTTAGTACACTTGGGCATTTTGGCCATTCAGAACACAGAATGGTGAGAACGAGGTGTTTATTCAGTACAGTAATCATATGGTATTGTAAATGGTACAGTAATCGGTACAGTAATTGTATCACATAGTTGCGCGTGACTTCTCTATAAGACAGATCTGATCGAAGCGTAAATTAATGAAAGTTGAAGGAGCAACTGCAATATCCACAGTGTTCTTCTTAAGGTTACACTTAACTATAGTGGAGATGGAGCCGTGGTGACTCCCATCCAGAACAATGCACAGTTGGTTTTTTTTGCGAGGAGGAGCTGGGCTCAGATCTGTGACAGGTATATGGTAATGCTGAATCGCGGCGCCTGCACCGTTGGATGAACAGAACACTGCAACACAACCCTCGGGGGTGGGTCCATTCAGACCGAGAAATGGATCGGGACAAGCCATTGACATGAATCGATTGTGTAGCCTGCCCCCCATGAAGGAGGGTGAGACTTTCAACATCACGTGATGTGTGGTGAACTTTGAGGAAAATTCTTTCTTCATCAGCCAAGCTAACGGACCTAAGATGAAATAAGGTAAATGTTATGATGCCTCCGTGGAGGGACTCACCCTCTTTGAGTTTTTCCGTTCGAGAATCAAAGCTATCCAGTACATCATCGGCATCGACAGTCCAGGCGTCGGGTTTGGCAGCCAAACAGGTGGGATTGACACTGGGCAAAGGATTACCGGCCTGATCCTCGGGACGGGCAGTCCAGGTGGTCCACGATGACGACGCGCCAGGATCTGCGACAGCAACCGATGAGGTAGAGGGAACCTTTTTAGGTGGAGGGGTGACACTTCGAAGTTTTGGGGCTAAGTATGATCTCCCCCGCATCTCGCAGAAAGACAACATGTCTATTCCTTCGAGCATCGCACTGTTTAACCTCATTCCGTACCTGAATACCTATGAGCAATTGATCCGTTGTGAAAATGTGCGTGCTGCTTACCTGGTAGCAACATTCTGGAGTTGAAGTGTAGTGCGCTGCTGCCCATGCACAGCAACGGTACAGTTTTCCGAGGCGAGACTGTAAAGCGTAGCTCGGTAGCCCTTACAGTCACCCCCAATGATAAATACTTCTTGGCCGATCTCCTTTTTGAAGGAATCCAGGTTGGCGTTGCATACTTTTATCACAAATGAGATGGGAACGTCAACCTGCCAGAAGTCAGTTATGCATAGACATGCATAGGTTATGAAGATACTGACGAGTGAGTGGTCAATGTCAGAGAGTAGGGTCAAGCGAGCATGTGGAAAGTTGACGCTTCGCACGATCCCTTTCGTCTGATACTCCAGCCCACGGGCGACTCTCACAACATCTCCAGGTTTGACGTCATAACCCTTGTCTTTCGTGTACTGTAATGTCTGGAGGTGGGGGAGGTGCGTCCACTGAACACATGAAATAGGAACTGGAATATTCAATGTTTCGTGCTGGAACCATATATTGTCTCCTCCCTTGGAGAGCTAGCGCACGATGCCACACTTTCCCATGTGCTCCCCAACAAGCACTTCTATGCAATCCCCTATTTGAATGGATTCAATATCGGGAGGGGGCTTAAAAAGTTGCTGCGCTGGCAACTGTGCGTGCAGCATGTGACTCAGATGACGGCAGTCTAGATAATATTTTGAAACTTCCACCTATGCTCCATGTGTTAGTTGCAAAATGCTCAATTGAAAAAAGACGTTCACCTCTTCCTTCGAGACATCTTGACATAAACGAAATATATCATTTACCATCTCAATGATGTGCCCTTCCACACCCAAGTACGGACCTGCTACGACCCGAACCGTGTCGCCGACCCGAAACACGCGCTCGATATCCTGTAATCGAACCTCTATTTCCTTTCGGTGCCCATCTAAGCTCAGATCCAAGGTGGCAGAACCAGCAGGATGGTCGGTTGAGGCGACCTTCCCGATTTCTGAACTAAGATCTCCTTTGACGATCTTAGCCCAGTCACCTACGTGCAAGAACTGCATCGAAAATGCAACCACAGTGCTCTTGAGGAACGACTGGTCCCACCCGGATTGTAGATGAAGTTGTATGTCGTCAGCGTGAGGGCAGACGACACGTTCTAGGCGATCGCGATGGAAGTTGTGAAGCAGGAGGCCCTTATAATATATCTCTCCTTTGTACTTGCATCCTACAACTTCCTCACTGTGATTGATATTGGAGACTGCATCCCCGTTCGGAAGGCGGGATCGGTCGAGTAATGACCAAGATCCCCGAGGCATGGGGTATGGGAAATCTCGTGGAGGAATTAAGACCGCAACCAAGTCATTTAGTAGATCAGAATCAAAGACTTGGGCTATGTCGCCCTTGTACTTGCCATGCTTGATCCTCACCCACGCTGGGTTGGGAAGCTTGCTACAAGAACGCTCGACTGTTTCACGTTCCTCGTCCGATATGAGGACATATTGCTTCACAGCGAGGTAGAGCGATGAAGTCAGTGAATTTGTGATGGTTTTGGGGCTGTCTGCCACCACGTAAAGCTGGCCGGGTATCCAAGCTGATACCTTGACGACAAAATTCTTCATCCAAAGACGTGCAGCGATATAATCCGTAACATTTCCTATCATTGATGAGTGAAGCACGACATGACATCGATAGAAAGACTTATGTTGAGCATGAAGAAGATACATCCTCCCGTCCTGTAATCCAGCTGGACTTCTTGAATGGATCAAGTCGGATATCGAGGAGGGAATAGTTTGGCGATCTTGCGACGAACTAGGCTGTGTCGCCTCGAATCTATTTGTAATGTCATTGATGGCTGCAGCAAACCTAGCAGCCGATGATGACCCTGGCAAGGATGTAACCTTCCAGAGCTCAGAGGGGCCGCTGTGGTCACAGTTGTCATCATCCTCCTCCTCCTCCTCCTCCTCCTCCTCCGCAGCCAGATCGAGGTAGGGGTTTTTTAACTACGGTAGCTGTTTAGCATATGAAAGTATTAGAATCATATTATTTTGGCTTACTTTGGCTACTCTACGTGAACTTTGAACGTGCACACTAGACAATTGCCTGTCGTTCATGTGAGAATCATTGGGAGCCGAAGAGGCCGGTTGTATGTGTTTCGCCTTCACAGCACGAAGATTTGCCAAGGCAAGCTGGTCATCACCGTCACCGGAAAATAAGGCATCTCAAGATTCCTTCCAATCGTTTGCAGAATATCGATCACCAAGGTGCGATAGTAGGGCTTCTTCCATCTGAGCGTACGTCATGTCGGTGGTAAGGAACTGCTCCAAAATCGCCCATGCCCATTTATCCGCTAGTGGTGTTTGATTCCCTGTGATATGCTCATGAATAACGATATGGGTAATATCATGTTGGTACTCACCGTCATCAATTCTGATGCGCTTGGGGGTAGGTGCATCATCATTGGATGCAGCACGTTTGGACATAGTTTCTGTAGTCTGTAGAATACGGCTCAGCACTATGGTAAACGAACTTAAAGCATCACGCACTATATTCAATCGTTCACGCAAAGTCTTAAGTCTACGGTAGGTCGTGTCGAGGTAGTTGTAGTGGAAAGAAAACCATGAAGGTGCGAGATCAGTATTCATAGTGAACGACAAATTTGGAAGCTTAGCAAGTGTTATTGTGCAGATTGTGGATCATGGTGGACACAGCAAATTGTCTATTGTGCGAGAGGTCAATATTGTGGACCATAGCATTGTTTTTTTATCCTAAGTATTGTTGAGGCCCACTCGTAACACACACTACTACTAGTAATGTAATGTATCGGCGGATGGATATACACAATGACCACAACGCTACAAGTACTAACACTCTGTCGTATGGGAATCAGAAGAAAGTCCATTTGGAGAGACAGAAGGCATGATATACAGAATGACTTACAAATTGAAACTCAGTGGGCAATGCCGGTCCGGCAAAACTTTCCAGAGTGGGCGCAAAGTGGGCACTTCGGTAAAACTTCTGGCGGAGTTTTATTATGCAATTGTTCACTATATAGCTAGTGTCTGTTTACAAACATGGGTTCCTTTTGGACTTTCATGTGCGCAAAGTGTTCGTTGTACTGTGTAGATTCTGTATATTTGTATACGTCAATGTATCTGTAGGACTGTAGAATTGGATGGAATTAGACTTAGTACAATCTGAATATCAATGAATGCACGCCTTCTTGCATGTCTCTGTTAGACGCAAACTACCCCGCTTCCTGCTCAAAATTTGAATAGTAAGTACGTGCTTGACCTAAACATTGGAATAGGTAGCTCACGCCCTAACTTCAGATTACTGCTAAATACATCACTGAATCCCATGGTACGTATTCATGAATCTATGATTGTTAATTTCCGAGAAGAATGACTGCATGTAGCGCATCTTCTTGGGGCTTTACAAGCTTGGCTTGTCCATGTCTGCCATTCGTTTCTGAGCTTCGCGCTCGCTCAAGTTCTTCACCCCTCTGCGCCTCAATGTATTGTTCTACCAAGGAACGGATGTCAGTATTCGTTAGGTCATTCGTTTGAGCCCCCAACTTTGAATACTGTCGCCAGGCATTTTCCAGCAATGTGATCCCCGATGTTTGCCCAATTAACTGCATTCCGATAAGTTAGTGCGTGTTTTGTATCGCATAATATGACATACTATATTGCTGACATATGCTATTATCGCCATTGCGATAGCTAGCTGGACTATTCCCCATATGAAATTCTTGATCGCTGACCCCAGAGGACAGTCGCTCGGCGATGTCGTACGTTTACGACACCAGATGGAGATGGTCGGTTCTGCATCGTTGGTGGACGTTGCTCCAAAAATCAGGCTGTGGTGTGTGCTATCATACGTCTTGCACTGTGTCAGACCCACATTCCATTAATTGATGAAATAACTCACCATTACGGTTTGTACTCACCCCTTGTCTGCATGTTGCAATACTTGCTTCAGGGCGCCTTCATTCTTGTCAAAAATATGAATAGTTCCTGTGTCACTGCCTCCGACAACAAGGGTAGCCTGTTCCCCAAAAACAACCTGTTTCGGGAATGTCTTCACTGGATTGGTATTATAGGTACGGATACACGCCCCATCTTCTAATCGGTGCAAGCTAAATCCGTTCATTACATTGTCGATTAGGAACAGTGTCTGAGGGGCGTCCACAACAGCGTGCCCGCTTTGGTAAATCGGTAAGTAAATTTTGACTTGCCTGATGATATCGCTCACATCATCGGCCCAGCCTTGTTTGTAGCGATGACAGTGCTGTCCGAGCCTCGAAGCGTATGTCTAAATATCATCAGTCCTCTGCTAATGATGTATGGACATGCACCTACATCTTGCCGTCATACATCCCGAATACCAACAAGTTTCTACCTGCTGTTCGATTGAAGTTGACAGTGCGCGGAACCGTGGTGGAGAGCTCAATGCTGAAGATTGGTATCAACAGTCCCTTGAAGTCAAATGTCCATACTTGAACCCGTCTGTCGCGTGTTTCACTTGCAATACGACTGTTGTCGCCACTATGATCATAGGTAAGGCACATTATCTCCTTACCCATTCCGATTCGCCTTGACACTTTTGCATTGAAGTCTTCCAAGCCTTGTCCTTGCTGTTGCCAAATACATATGAAACCCAGTCCTGTGCCATAGCATAGCGTCTCACGCGTTGCTTCTTGACGGGTTATCCAGCATGCGCAAGTCACCGGATCAGCCGTATTTTGGATGGCTGGTGTTTGACGTGGAGTTGGGAGTTGCACTCGTCGTTTGAGGTCGCAGATCCTCATGCCGTCCGAGCCTGGTACTTGAGTGAGTGTGTATAATGTTATTCTGGATATTCAACTTACCCCCACTTGCCAACATATTTCCATTGCAAGAGACCGCTAGGCAATTGATTGTGTTCTTGTGCCCAACGAGGCGCCCTTCAAGGCGATATTCTTTGCAATCGTTGGATAGGAAAAGCATCGGTAGCTGTAAACGTTAAGATTTTGTGTGGTTGAACTATAAGGTGGTTCTATACAATAGAATATACAACAACACTATCTGCTTGGCAACCTGGGTGGGCGCTGGGTTTTCGATCTAGACCTGCATTGCCGTCATCAATTGGCATCTTCTCAGCTCTGTTCAGTTCCAAAGTCAGTCATGCTTCAATCCTCTACTTCTGTCATTCCTTTTTATGAGTCTGAAGGTCCTCCCCAGGCACTTCCGTTATTGACATATCACACGGAGATGTTTTGTCCTACATTATCGTTCGTCTTGATATCTCCCCAAGAAGAGATGATATTCTCTACTCTTCCGCTCAGGGGACTCACTCTAACTCCTTCCCGCGTCTTCACGACCACGTCTCGTGCAACAACACCCATTCGTTCTCGCGCGTCTACTCCCAAAGTTACCAAATTAGTCTCTTTTTCGGAAGGGCAGTTCACACAGAACAGCGAGTCCGAGAAGGTGTCAGCATATTCCTCATTGTCCTCTATAAGTTCCAAGGACTCCAAAATTCTCAAACCAGAGGGTGAGGCGGGGCGCCCTGGTTGTGGTGGGTACAACTTGGAAAAGGCACTCAACTGGGATGTTGACTGCTTCAAGGATCTCAAGGTGAGACTGCACTGGTTAATTTTGTTTTCCCTCATCCCCACTTGAAATTAGGAGTACATTCACCGGTCTATCAAGAAGCACTGTAACATTGACAAGAGCAAGAAACTTCAAGCTGCGGCTGCATTGCAGGAGGTTCACAGAGAGGTATTTCTGCAGTTGCTATGGCAGCTTGATATTAATTTTTTTTCAAGGCTCTGAACTGTTTTCCGGAACTGGCTGACTACCATGGGTGTTGGCCAGTAGGAGATATAATTCAGATGCAACTGAAAAACACTTCTGCTAAGGCACGACAAAACAGTTCTCGTAAATAGTGCGTCCTTCCGGAAAGAGTCAGGAAGCAGTAGTCAATCCTTTTGTAACAGAAGCAGCCAGAATGCCGTAGTTGATAAAGCAGTTAGGAAGCAGTAGTCCATGCATGATCGGGGGTTTCAATGTTTTACCTCTTCAATCAAAAGCAGATCTGGACCTGGCTAGACCATTCCAGGCCTAGCCTATAGCATTCCAGAGCACTCTGGATTACCTTTCGAATGTAATTTCACTGGCGGCGAAAGGTGGTATCATGATACAAGCATGCACAATTAGGGACATTTTGTTCGGTTTGAATCTGATTGTAGTTGTACCTAAGGCTCCAGATCAGATTCGGCGACACAATCAGGTGAGTCGTCTTCAGATAAGTTGCGGATTACAAAATAATTTGTTGCGTCAAGATGTCCCGTCTAATGTCCTTTTTTTCTTCGGATGATCCGTCCCCTGAAGTTGTTGAGTCGCACCCCCTCAACGAGCTTCGTTCACCCTCAACACATACGTACCCACCTCCAACTGCAAATACTACGTTAGCTACTGTAGATCATGATGACTGTCATCCCTCGGCGATAACTCACACATACCCACCGCAGCCAGCTATTTCCTCCAGCGAGGAGTGTGTAATGGAGTTAGATAATCCTTGGCAGTCTGTTCGTAGGATGAGAGATGATGACGAACAGCGGGTGGGGAACATCCAATTTGCCTCCTTGTGTCAGCTAACGAATGCTTAGCCGAATAAAGTCTTTCTCAAAGAAATCGATCAGTCATCTAAGCTGCGTGAAGATGTGCACGAGCTACATTTAAGCAAACATGATCTTTTGCTCCGAAAACACCATGTGCAGGTACATGTAATCTCACGTCCCTTGCGATCATACTTAACTCTGTTCAGATCACCTCGAACGTCCGCGAATCGGATATGCAATCGGCCATTGCACAGTATCAGCAACAGAACCAATATCTTCAGCGTGACAATGCTAATGCCCTCGCTTCCTTGGACCAGAACCATCGTAAAGAAGTAGCAGAGCTCCAGGTAGGATGCTTTTGCTGTCATATCAACATTCTGACTTGCATTGACAGAATGATATGGCACTTGGTCTTCATAAAGCCCAAACCGAAACCCGCGCTGAAATAGAACACTTATTGGCCGAGAAAGAGGCTCGATTTGACTGTGAAATGTGTTTGGCAAAAGATAGGTTTTTGGCTGACAATGAAGCTGAATTAGCCCGCTTGGACGCCAAGTATAGTTCCAAGATCAATTCATTGGATGTGAGTATCGAATCGCTGGTATGCAGGGTTCTTACGATTTCATAGAGTCAACTTCGACACGCCAACACTGCATCACCTGCGTCCACACCTGCCTGGCGGCATTTCGTGGGCAAAAAACCCATGGCTACATGTACCAAGATAATTGGGTTTTCGCCAGTAAGTCGACAACTCAGATGCACATTATTTGCTGACACTGCATATCATAGATTCCTGATTCCAGCTCAGAATCTGACACAGACGAGGAACCTCAGACAGAAAGTCTTCCCCTGACTTCACTCTTAGGAGACGTCCCGATCGCGAACGCAACTGTCAGCATGCTTGCTGAGGCGCTCGCGAAGGTTCTTCAGACTCCTCAAATGACGTCTCCTCGAGGACCTTGCTCAAGACACAAACCGCCTAAACCCCCTGTCGAAAGTTTCACTGATACCCAGCGCCGAGACAATAAGGTCCATATTCACTTAAAGCAAATCGCTCTGCTCACAGAAACATCAGGCAAATGTTCGAGAGTTGTTCAGAACTGCATTCCACGCCACAAAAGACGAAGAGTATATGCTTCATGTGTCGGCGTCGTGTGAAGCTATATTGTCTTTTGCACATGGAATGGGCCCAGGCCCTGACCCACTTGCAATGCAATGGGATATGGCGACCACACACAACTCCAAGTGGAATCAAAAAGTTATCGATTTACTCTGTTCCCAGTATGCAACTTTACAGGAGACCAACTGATGGGCTAGATGATCTTCTCAATCAATTAGAGATGACATTACACTGAAATTCAGTCAATGCCACAAGTGTTGGCGAAAGGCTCAGCCTCTCACACTTAGTGATGGTACTCGCGAGACCATGCAACAAGTGGGAGATCGACTCGTGGATCAGATGAATGAGCGACTGCGGCTCGCTAGGGTCCTCACTCGCAGGGTGACAGTCAGTTACCTTGTTTCTTTCAGAGTTGAAGTGTATTGAGCTACTCACTAGAAGTTCGAAACTCGAAAAAAAGTGATGTCGACACTGCTAAGTGATAGGAATGCGACAGGAAAGGATGATCAGGCTGTGTGGGCGTATCTTCAATCTATCATGGAGAATCTTGGCAAAGATGGCATGAGCTCTGACGAGAGTGAGCACGAAGATGGAGACGTTCAGGTCTTTCGTCGGAAGAGTATGCCATGGAGAGCAGATTTCAGTCAGGAGATGCAGATTATTGACCAACAGCGTTTAACGGGTGCCACAATTTTCACTCCTTGCGGAAGTAAGCCCGCAAAGCGTCTTCATAACGTTAACCGGGAGTCTTCTTGCGTCCCGATCGAAGGCCTGCCAAGAGCATTTTATAATCCTTCCTGGTTGACTGACCAACGTCCCTCATTCACAGTATCTAAGAAGAAGTTTCAGAGGATGGAGATTATCGTTGCCCGCCAGTAATCTTTCAATTTGATAAACGAGATGTCATTTGTACGATAGAGTAACGCAGACAATGTGCCACGTATGAACTACTGCAGTGTTGTCCGGCGACCTCTACTGAACTGCGGGTGGTTCCCTCCCAGAGTGTATGCCAGCGAAACTATATGTGCAGACCAACAATTGTGAACACGGGAGGCATTATCTAACAGGCGGGGTCTTACAGTGTCCGTTGTGTAAGTGGTCACCGCCATTGGTTTTTGGTACTAACTAGCGACTCTACAGGGTGTATGTACATTCAAATTTCGGTCCGTAGTTGAACATTCTTATGCAGTTGGATACTCCCCTGGCATTCCAGCAGGTGAACATAATAATGCACCCGACCTATGGATTACTTGCAACGGTTCTGGAACTGTTCTAAATGAAAATAGTCCGCATGGTTCTGATTGTGCGGTGAGGACTGTTCCAAGGGAAAACAATCCACGTCTCATGCCGTTAATAATGCATTGTGCTGTAGGTGGAATTAAACTGTTGTTATCTGTATCTGTTGCAAGCTTCTAATGAATTTCATCAGTAGAGGTTATTGCGAAACCAAGCAACCATCTTACGTGTCTGTCATCATCTTTTGCCGAGTTCTCGGCCTTTGAGGCATGCCTGCGCATAATCTCGTCCACCTCTATGCCCAATACTGCTCCCTCAAGTGCTGCATAGATCCTCTCACGTAAAAGGTCAGTAGTAGGATGGTCCCCTTCACATTTGCGATCAATACACTTGTTTACCACTTTCTCTAGGCTGCGAACGAGTTTTCTTTTATCTGGAGACAGGCGCCCCATATGATGACTGACGTGGCTGACATCAGAGGCTATGAAGTTCGCCGCCAAGAATGTGGGTCTATTCTTTGAAAACTGTGAGGTCAGTCTTGGAGTTGGGCTACATAACAATCTTACGAACCTCATTTTCTGTGAGGTCAATGTTTGGCATTGGAACATCTTGCAGACTTCCTCTTGTCCCCTCGAGTGTATGAGATTCGTTGACGAACATAGCGGATCCCATCCACTCGAGCTATGAATATTGAATTCAGCCATTGCTGGCCACCACCTCGACATATTTACTTACAGTATTATCTAGCGCGACCTGCGCGACCTCCTCATCGAAATACAAAGCAAGTGTTCTCGTCAGAGGTGCGATGATGGGTGCAATACTGTCATTGCTTGAAGTGTAGGGCCGTGTGTATGGATTGAAGCGTATGCTACGGCCTGCAGTTGCTTTGTTGCGAGGTGATGTGCACGGCATGAATGAATTGCGATTCAGCCAACCTGCAACATGTAATCTTTAAATCAGGCCACTTGATGTTGCGTCTAGACTTCATCCAAAAGCTGTATTTGGTATCTTGTCTCCCAGTTGATGCTGCGTCTAGACTTCATCCAAAGTTGCATTTGGTATCTTGTCTCCCAGCTACCCATGCTCGCTTCCGTGAGTGCCGCCGTATCTTCTGGGTATATCGGACAAACAATAAGTTCTCCTCATCCAGAACAAACAATAAGTCCCTGGCACCATAACTTCGCTCGACTTGAAGCAAGGTCATCTTTAATTGTACATTTCTCCCACCTTTGCGATGGGAAACTCGGAGAGTTACCTCTCTAGTCCAAAAAGTGTTTTTCGTTATGTGCGCCTCATATATATGTGACCTGCATTTTTTGTGACTTACATTCTTCAATGCAGTCGCAGGACTTCGTGTCAAAGACTGACTTCCCTGGCAGTCTAGGACCTTTGAAGGTGAGATCTTTCTTATGCAAATCGGGTTCGAGTTAACTCCTATTTCACAGGACAAGAATGCTCCAACACTTGAAAGCAAGGGACCATCCCTGAAGCGTAAACTCAACTTTGGTGACCTGGTCACCCCTCGAAAGCGACGTATTCTGGAATCGTATTCCACAGGCGATATATGTCAAGTTGCTACTGTATATTCTGATGCTACGGTATGTTCTATTTTCAAATATTTGTATCAGCGTTGACGAAGCTATAGCCAAAGATAAATCGCCACAATACTGATTTTAGACTGTAGTCTGACATTTTCTTGAAGCGTAAAGTGGATGCTCAACTAGATCCCTTTGCGCTCAAACGTGTAATGTCTCATGAGCCATGCAAGACCAAAACGTTCATTTGATCCCTACCTGTGGAAATTCTCATCATCACCGTCGCCCTTCTAGGAGCGCAAGATCTGCGCTCTGTCACTCAAGTTTCCTCTCTGTTGAGAGAAATTGCTGCTCCGCTCTTCTTCCTCGACAGAAACTTACCAACTTCCCCGAAGGATCTGTTTCACATTCGTGTAGACTCGCCGAATTTCGACGTTTTGACTACTTGGAGACGAATGGATACTTTTCGTCTGCCACGTATGGTGTTGAGTTGGCTGGAACCTAATCTGCGATCCTCACAGCTATCCGCATTTTCACACTTCCTTGAGTCAGTCCCCCGCAAATCGATATGATATATCACACTTTTTTGGAATTTTGACATTCTCACTTCCCCGGTTCTCTCTCAAATTGTTACATTACTAGAAACCATCTGTGCCTCCGGTGTCGAAGAACTGATGTGCATGGGTTTCTGCAATGGCGCTGTCTCACCGTCCGTCACTGGCCTCACTCAAATTCAGGTGTGTGTAGGCGCAAACAACCTGAAAGCCTTTGAGGCATTTTTGTGGGTATTCTTTTCCCCAAAGCTCTTTCCTTTTACAATTCAGACCATCTGCCTTTCCTGCTGTTTGGAAAAGCTTCGACTGAGTTCCGTCAAGCTCAGTTCAGCACACTGGGACAAACTCCTGCGCCACCTTTCGATCCCAACGCTTGTCGAACTCCGTGTTGATGCTGAGTGCGCACCACCCACGCTCATCGTTTTCTGGCCCGTCATCCTGCTATCAGTAACCTCAGTGTCATCCCGCGACCTGGTGGTCACTGGAGGGCCAATCGAGTCACCACTCCTTTGACTCTTTCTCTGTCTGTGCTGGATGGACCCTTGTCACATCTCCTTCCAGTCCTTCGGAGCCATCGTGCACCACAAAACTTTGCCTCCCTTTATATTCCCTTACAAGCTCACGACGCATCGCCCGATTACATCACCTCCATTTTACAATGTATTAGCCATTGTGACAGCATCGGATATCTTGTACTTTCCTTGCCTAATAGTCATTCTAGTGCAGCAATGTTGTATTTGTCGGGAGCCCATTCAACGGTCCGCATCAAACACTTGACGATTGACTACTCAGATGGTTTGGTCCCCAATGCTGCAGGTGATACATTGGTGTGTGTTATTGTTGCAATACTTTTTTCAATACTGATCGTGGCTACAGGCCTTATCTGCGGCTTGGATTCAAGCCCTTCCTCAAGTCAAGCGTGTTACTTTGCGAGGTTACTCAGCTACTGCTGCCGGGGATCTTGTCGAGATGATGCATAACTTTGCTGTGGGCGATGTCGAACTGGTTGTGAATCTGCAGGTCGCAGCAATTTAAAATTCCTTATCATTAATCATCCCTCCTTACTCCAATGTACTGGATGATAGCTTAGATTTGTTGTATCACACTGTAATATGGCGGGCGCTGAGCGCCAAATTCCGGCAGAGTTTGATTATTCTAGTCATTCAGTATATAGATGCGTCCTTCAATTAGCAACTGGTTTTCTTTCTGATTTCGATGTATCATACTGTTGTACTGTTGTAACTTTGTCGTTAGTCATAGTGTAATTTATGATTATGAGTAGAAGTTAGCGCAAAAGTTGGGCTTCCAACTCATGAATACAAAATACAAGAAGTCCGTTCGAATGGTCAGTGCCAAGTACATCGCGTCCTCAGAAATTATAATTTACACCCACGTTGTAGATTCGGCACCCTATATCTTTGTCTTATAGATTGAGGGTCCTTGTAATTTGGCATCACCCTTAGCAACATGGGATTCAGATGTTTTACACCACCCGATGCTTTAAATGATCAAAATCTTGTTTTGTACTTTTTTTCACCCTTACTTTTATCTCTCAAAGGTCAGGACAACAGCTAGTGTGTATCATCTAAAGACTGAAGTTTATTTAGATGCCTAGTCGCATGTTTCTTTGCAAGTGTGCGCGATGCTGCGACATTGGAGGGGACGGCATGCCTGGGAATCCTGGCGGTAAAGAAGTGCCTACTGCTATGAAAACCGTGCATTTATTGCAAGCTGCCAACTCGACTTCGTCGTCTGAACATGAAGCATCTGTGCTTCATCTCGCTCGCCAGCAGCTGGAGCCAAATGCTTCGCAGGTCGACAATCTCGCCGCCGAGTTATTTGCCATCACACTAACCGACAATGACGCCAATCCAAACAGTCACAGCAAACTCTGGAATTCGTGATCAGAAGTTCAACAAGACAAGGGAAAGGCCTACCATTCTCTGGATAATACCGCTAGATTTACGGTAGATGACACACAGTGAGCATAATTTTCGCCTCACCTTGCATCCCTAACTTGGTTGTTTCCCAGATACATTGCCCAAGTTCTCCAGGCTGCTGAGAAGCGGCGCCATTCAAAGGCTCAAGCAGCCTTGGACATTGTAGAGTCACGGATGGACAGGGCCCGCATTCGAATCGTCTCTGCAACTTCTCGTGTTGTTGTGCAAACCATCCGAGATGAACTGGCTGTGATGACGACAGCCCTCAGAAAAGTCAAGCTCAAGGTCTCGTCCATCGTTTCTTGCAAAAGTCAGCTGGAGTCGTCATGCGATGACATGCACAGACTCCTCCGCGACAAGGAAGATGCGCTTCCTGTGTCATCCGAGCCGCTCGAATTCGATTCCTGTGAGTTCTGTTCATCCTTTTTATGCACTTCGACTAAGACACATCAAGCACACCATTTTGACTTGCCAATTGACCTCTGTGACGAGGTTGCTCAGATGTCCCTCTTTCTAGGGGCCATCTCCGTCGTCATTTTTGGCATCGGTCGCAGACACGGGGAGTTTCTCATAGGAGTCCTTACTCTCATTTTGAGCCTTGCTATGGAGGCTCAGAACCCTCATTCTGAGTCTCACTGTCACAATATACTCTCTCAAATCCCGCGCTCTATGGAAACTACACTTTCGCACTTCAAGCTGGATAGCCAGACTACAACTTACACAGTCTGTCCAGCATGCAACTGTACTTATAAACCTACTGCCAGCATCAACTCAAGTCACGTCCAATATCCCATGAAGTGCTTCAACATCCCGATACCAGAGGATGGTCCTTGCGATGAACCGCTGTTGCAGCTCTCTGGCGATGGGCAATTAAAGCCAATCAAAATATTCCTCTATCACCACTTCCACGACTACCTTGCTGGATTGCTGTCTCGTCCCGACCTTGAAGAGTTGATGGATAAGCCTTGCAATGATTTATTAGCATCCATTGGGAACCCACCGCATATTATCAAGGATGTTTGGGATGCCAACTTCTTTCGCGATTTCAAGGGTCCTTCCGGGCAATCCCTATTTATCAATAGAGGTGTCGAGGGTCGGTACGCTTTCACGCTCAATGTTGATTTTTTCAACATCGAAGGCAATCTCCAGCGAAATGCTTCAACCTCTACCGGCATCATCTCATGTGCATGTTTGAACCTCCCCCTCGATATTCGGTATAAATCTGAGAACATGTACTTAGCTGGCATCATTCCTGGACCTTCAGAACCTTCAGGAGACGAGTTGAATCACTTCCTCGATCCCGTGGTTGACAACATGGTAGAAAGTTGGGAACGTGGGATATGTTATTCCCGCACAGCTCTCCATGTTTCTGGTCGGGTTACGCGCAGCATCATAGTGTTTCTTGTATGCGACCTCCCGGCAGCAAGAAAGGCTGCTCAGCTGGCAGGTCCAACAAGTCACTTTTATTGCACTGCCTGCCATTGTTGGCACAGGTCAACTTGCGGTAGAACAGATATCCAGACCGAAGATTGGGCTCTCAAAGACAAGAACGAAGTGCGTCGCTATGCTGAGCTCTGGAAGAACACCGGAACTTCAGTTGAGCGCAACAAGTTATTTGCGTCACACGGTGTGCAGTGGTCAACACTCTGGAGGTTATCATACTGGGATCCCTCCCGTCAAATTGTCGTCAACACCATGCATTGTCTCTTAGAGGGTCTCGCACATGCTCATTTCTGTGAATTCCTAGGCCTCACAGCTGACTCCGCCAATCGCAAGTTTGATGTCATCCCTGCTTTTGAACACCCTTTCCTCGATGTTGATCTAAACAAACCTCAAGAACTCAACGAGAAAGACATCAAGGTCGTCAAGTCAATCCATAGCCTTCTTACAGAAGCGGTCTCCAACCTTGAGGGAAATGACCCAAAGCTTGTTGAGGATCACCTAGCTGACTTAGAGAAGAGACTGTTGTCGAAGAAGGTCGCATGCCTTCGGTTCGTATCTGTAAGCTTGGGCATCGGACCAGAGGTCACACACCCTGGCAAAAAAGTCTATAAAGTCCACTGGGTTAGATTGCTCCTTGGTTGGGTAGGCATTTTAATATCACTGTTCTGGTACCTCTTGATTAAGCGACTCCTTGTAGCGTCGAACACGACCTTTCACTCCCGGGTTATCAAAATCGTGTATTGCTACCCCAGAAGTTATGCAATGTATTGCTGATGTCATCAAGACGACAGATACGCCCTCTTTCTTGAGATCAGTCCCCTATAACTTCGGGGAAACAAAAGCTGGAACCGTGAAGGCCGATGAATGGCGCACATTAACGACCGTATACTTACCCATAGCACTAGTCAGTTTATGGGGCGAGGGATCGGCACATCGCAACTCAGACATCGCAGTCAGCCGCCGTGCCATCCTTGATCACACGATGGACCTTGTATCTGCAATTCATATCGTATGTCTGCGATCTATGACACAAGATCACGCAGACGCATACCGTACTTATATGATCAACTGGATAAGGGATTTGCAGGTAATACTCCCCCATGCACGCCATCGAACCAATGGCCATATGGCATTGCACGTCTGGGACTACCTGCAACTCTTCGGACCTGTATGGTCATGGTGGTGCTTCCCATATGAGCGCCTCATTGGACAGCTGCAGCGGTTGCCCAGCAATCACATTTTTGGTAGCATTCAAATTTCTTTGTCGATGATAGACTTCTTACGCTACGCTGGTATGCAGGACAGCAAGAATCAACTCTCCTCTGGTCCTACATCAAGGCTGCAAAGCTTAAATATTGGCTGAACCGACCCTCTTGTCCTCCTGTATTTAGGGAGGTCAAGTGGCTATTCGATAGATTTGTGTCTCCCTCAATCAACGCTAATCCCAGCGATGTATCCAACAGTCACCCGATACCCCCTACCATAAAAGAAGTCATTCCGGATGACCTTTGCCAGCTTATCCAAGTTCGGCGGGCAGTCTTGCATGCTCACATCCTTCACAAAGGATCCATCTATACCCGCTACTCCACTCATGTCGGCAACAGCCTGATCCTTTATCACCCTGACGGCCTTAGGAATGTGCAACCAACACCGGGGACCATCAAATATATTTTCGAGATAGAGCGAGGAGTATGCTTCACCGTGCGGCATCACCTCCCATTGCATTCTCGCACTGATCCCTTCCGCCATTATCCTCACTTCCCGGCTCGTTTATTCTCGTCAGCGCTCACAGAACATCTCACAATGGTCATGCCGGAGTGGGTAGTGTCGCATTTTGTGTGGTGGAACTTCTCTCCACAACATATTGTTGCTGTGTCTCTGAGTCAGGTGTGTGATGTTTACTTCCCCTATATCTTACAATTGACATGGCAACACGCTTAATAGGACTGAACATTACGTGCAAGGTGCCTGCATAGTACTACATCCAGAGAAGCGGGCGCCGAGTCCAAAATTTAAGCTCAGTTTGATTATGTAGTTATTCCATTAAGGTGTTTCATTCTGTTATCTTACATTCTTTTGATGAGTCTTAGCCCATAATACGTAGTTCACCTTGCATATAGTTGTTTCAACTTCAAAGTTGTTTGTTACATGATCTGGTTCAATGCCCGCTTCAAGCACTGGCTTGATTAGTCATTTCTATTTACGCGTCCATGTATGGGTATGGGTATGGATTGTAGGATAGTTTACTAGTTTCAAGATCTACGTGTTTCAGATTAACAATATCTACGCTGCCCGCCGGTGTAGGCTTAGTCAGTACCAGTAAGTGCCACATCATGAATTGATATGCAGAACCATGCGACTAACTACTTGCATAACCGTGCGGGAAAATCCGGACTGAGTTTCATTCTCTATATAAACCTCGTTTTGTGTTATTTGAATACTTTTCCTCTCTCTTACGATACCCATATACCATACCTGTAGACGCACACGTGTAAGAGTGGTCCGGTTTTTTGCCGTTACATACATATACCACAGTACATATTATATCAAATATCATGCTTCTTGGTCTCGACCTGGGTGGCCCTACTAGGGATGGGACTACTACCCCTGCTGTAGATGCAGAAATAATACCAGTACAGCTTGCCACACAGGATTTGCACGTTACTCCCGCTACCTCCGGCATTGTCCAACAGGATAGCACAGCTGAAGGGACTGTTACCCCTCCAGCACCAATACCAGCACAGCCTGCCATGCTGGACCCGCCGCTAGCTACCCATCCCGTCGATACTCCCATTAAACAAAATAGTTCTACGCTATTGCCCTTCACGACCCTTTCATGATGTCGAGTCGATACTCTTAATTCCATGGGCAAGGAGATGCAAGATTATATCGTTGGCCCGATGCCAGTAAAGAACTTTCTCGACAAGTTCCTACCGAACCCTAAAGATTATGACATTTCGGACTTCACTTCCCGCTTCGCTTCGGCCTCCGATGCTGCAGCATTTAATGTGCAATCCATTAAGAAAGAGGAGGATTCTTACGAACCATTTGTGAGTGACCTCGCACTGACGATATTAAGATTTTTGACAGTCTAACTGCAGATTAACGCAATGCGACCCTTCGCCCCTCAATTAACGTTCGTGAACACTTCAAAACATGCAGACACCAAGAACTGTTCGTCGTTCACATTCAATGTCAAGCCAGACGTATGCGTATACGCCGACGGAACTTCCCACGGCTGTGATATTTTCAAAACTGAAATCCACATCGAATTCAAATGGAATGATGCTCACGACGCATTCAGCAAACATCCTGAAGTCGATGACCCCATTGTATCTCAGACCGATAAGGGCTTTGATACCTTGGGTCAAATAACAAGCTACGCTGCTGCTCAGCTCGGTGCTCAATACCGTACTCACATATTCTCTGTCCTGATCATCCGTAACCATGCTCGGATCATTAGATGGGATAGGGAGGGAGCTATCGTCATGGCCACCTTCGATTATAACAGCGAACCACACTTAGCTGATTTCTTCCATCGTTTCGGACGAGCATCGCCTGCACTGCGTGGCGTCGATACTTCCGTAACGCCCGCTAGTGACGAAGAAGCTGCCCTTGCAAGGACGGCGTTAAAACTTGATGCTACCGTACGCATGTTCAAAGTTGCAATCCCTCAGGATCCTACTGTTGAGGACTCTGACTGGTTGACACTGATTATTTCCCATCCTGTTGCAAAAGGTTTTCCAGTTGTTGGTCGTTGGACTTGCACGTGCCCTGCGTTTGACATCCTCAATAACAGGGTTGTGATGTTCAAGGACTCTTGGCGCATGTCGATAAAGGATGTTCTACCGGAAGGTGAGACTTACAAATTATTAAAGTCACACAATGTTTGCAATGTCGCGACATGTATCGCATTTCATGATGTAATCCACCCTATTCCCCAGCAAAACACCCAGACTGTCAAGTTTAGGAGCGCCAAATGGGCGTGTCCCAACAAAGCTGTCACGCCTCATACTCTTCACCACCTGGTTCTCGATCTCGTGGGTGAGAAGTTGACTGACTTCGAGAGCTCTCATCAACTCGTCCAGTCTGTTCGTGATGCATTGCTTGGTATGTATCTTTAAACTTTGAGCTTCGCATACAACTTGATGTCCGTACTCATTATCTATTCAGCGCACCAGGATGCATATTCAAACGCAAAAATATTACATCGAGATCTCAGCGTGGGGAATATCGTCATCTACCGAGGGAAAGGCTTCCTCATCGATTGGGACCTGGCAAAACTACTTACCATTCAGGGTCCTCGACAGACAACCCGCACGGTATGTTCATACATGCCCAAATTGATATATTGCACTGACTTTCCTATTACTAAGGGAACCTGGCAGTTCATGTCTGCTCACCTCATCAAGAATATTCACGCCATCCATAATGTCGAAGATGACCTCAAGTCTAGTCTTTATGTTGTTCTGTGGACGGCCTTAATGTTCAAGGAGAGCTGCATAAGCGCCATTGACTGGACACAATTTATGACGCAGGTCTTCGATGCTGATCCGGTGCTGGGGTCCGGAGGATCCGCAAAATCGAATTGGCTCGTTGCGAGAACCAACTTTCCACGTTATATATTTGTTGACTGCAGACCGCTCGACAATATTGTCTTTGAACTTGCCGAGTTCTTCTCGCATCGGTACTCCATGATCCCCCCCGGGGTACAGGAGAGACTTGTACAGTTGCGGCTCTCATTGAAGGAAGTTATGGATGAAGTTGGGTCTGTGCGCATGGCTGCACAGCAGAAGATGATAGATGTCACAAAAAGCTGCCTGTTGGAGTCTCCTGCTTTTCAGAAGGAGATCGGTATGCAGGTCCTGCAATTGCACGAGGCCGTCATCAATATTTACGACAGGCACCTTGAGTCATCCGACTGGCCTGATAAAGATGCGGCCATCCTCCAAAAGTTGCATCCGATCGACAAGCCAAACGGACGTCGTCTGTACATGAAATCACTATGTGCCTCGCAGGACACGACACCCGTACGGACACAAGTTACACCATCTGGTAAGAAACGTAGGCTGGATCCTGAGGATAACGTTGAGATCCTCAGTTTGGTGGCTGGCCTAGATGACCTCGTATCCTTCCACCAATGACATTTACCTAGTACTTAGGAAGCCTGTATTCATCTTATGCTTGCGATACGTGTTCTCTCCTTTCGGTTATGCATTGTGTAAGTCAACTAAATCTGGTGCTTCGCCAGTGTGCGCTGGGCACGACAAGTTAATCGTCCAGTACTCAAAAAAATGAAAATTGTGCTCAGCGTGCCTCCCAAAAGTATTTTTACCTGTCGTGTGCTATGGGGAGACTTTGACTTACGTTGTCCATCAAAATCCGACCTCAAAGGCGCAAACCAGGAATGATCATGTATATTTCAGGACTGAGCATTTAGGTGTGAACCATGACCCATTTATTTAATCTAGCAGAATTTTTCGGGCGAGAGGTTGGTGGAAATTTGTATCGGCTGGAGGTAAGCATTATTTCTAAGTTACTTTGGTTGTCATTCCAGAAAAAGGCTCATGAATCGGTTCGTAAATCATAAGGGATGGGCAATGGATCATTATTCTCCTTCCTCCCTGGCTCTTCCTCCCACTCTAGATATGCTCCAAACCCAACAGACGTTCCATCTCGTTCAACTCCTGCCATAACCTAAGCACCGCTTCGCGCCTATCCTCCACCATCAATGCCAGGAGGCATTTATCGCGACAGGACATTTGGATGGGAGGGTGGGCAGGACATGGCGCGTGCGGATGAGTTTGCGCATTTTCTATATTGTCTTGTACGATTTCTTGTGCGTAGTCCCATAGCGCCTAGAAATGTTATAGTTTGCTAACAGAGATGGGCAGAACGGACTTACTATCGCAGATGGTGTTACTGTGAAGGTTTCTTGACCAACCTGCTCCCATACATCTCCAGCCTGCTCAACGTCTCCAGCATACTCCATTCCTCCAATGTACTCCTCTACATCTTGCTCTACGTTCCCGGCCTGCTCTACATCTCCAGCCTCTGCAGTCTGTTCCTCCATGACGTCCCCAGGTTGTTCCTCCACCTCCCCATGAAAAAGCTATTGTAGAATTAGTGTACTCACTTAGACGGTGATGTATCTTACATTGTAGACTTCATTAATATCAAGTTCCTGGAGACGGTGCATCAGACCCCGCATGATCAAGCTACTGACAACTTACATGTGCGTCTCCTTCAGCCATTATTGTAATCAAAGCAGGATTAACGTCTTGAAGATCAACGTGTTTAGTAATTAACGCATTCAAATTCGATGAAGGTCTTGAAAGTCACGCGTTACATACGTGTTACATGCATATTCATACGTGTTACATATTCATAGTACATATTCAACATACACTATTTACGATGTGTGATGAATCCCTTATGAATGCCCAACGAGTGCCCAATGAATGCCTGCTATAATTCCCCATTGCTTAAATTTCGCATTTTCTCAACCTCATTTGAATGTAGGGTAAATTCTGAATTTCCCGGAGCGGTAATACGCCCGTTATTATATACAGTTAATCACAGGTCATTGAAACGCAAAATTCATATTTAGTGTACTACACCATCGCATCACAACTCTGAGGCTCTACTGTATTTTTCCTATATAGACAGACATCTCATGAATAGATCCATATAATTTTTATGAGTAGATTCCTAGTAGTTTGAGCCCCATGGTAAATATAGTGGGGGACCTCGTTTTCGGGATTTCTCACTCAATGAAACACGTGATTATTTCCTTATCCGACATTATGTAAGCTATCTACCGAGCCTTATCGTTCGTCGTCGCTGTCCTCTGAGCTGTCCTCATCTGGCGCCATAACATCTTCTGCACTCTCATTATCATCCACCTCACAGGTATTGAACCTTGGCCTTGGAACAGGAGGCTGTAACTTTCCTAAAACTGGCTTCTTCGAGGTGAATTTCTGCTTTGAAAGCTTGGCCTTTGACTTCTCCTCATTCCAGATCTCCACTGCTTCGCGGTATCGAGTGCGTTGCTCGTTGTTCTCCCATTTTCTCGCATCTTCAAGTCTTTTCCATATTGCCAGAGCCTCAGACCTTCGTTCCCTTTCCTCCCTTCTCGTTTTCTTATCATCTGCTACTTTTTTTTGCTCTTTCTTGTGATTCACAACCCTCTCGTAAAATTCGTCGCTGGACAATAATCGAGGCAAGCCGTCGCTCATCAGCTTGCCATTTTCCTTCTTCGATTGCTTCTTTGCCTCTTGGTTTGCTAGTTGTCCACGCAGTTGTGAACAATACAATTGGTTGAGAATATTGGTTGCCTGGAGCTCAATTACTCGTCGTTTGAGAGCTGCATTTGCAGATTCCGCTTCGTGAAGTGCGGCAAGGAGAAGTACTTCATTGTGTGTTCTAGGCTGAATGTCGAGAGCACCTCCTCGCTTTTGTTTGATTGGAGAAATGATGGCATGATTGAGTCGAGTTTCTGATGTTGCAGGTGATGTGGATGCTACGTCTGATAATGATGCCCTGTTGAGTTGCTGAACCAGCAGTTCGACATCCGAAGTTGTTGTTGACTCAGATAGTGTGTTTGAGACACTAACATCATCTGGTGCCTCCGAAGCCACGTTATCTGTGTTTGCTAATTTCTGCAGGAAGTCGGCAACAGCTCTGATAGGACTCGAAGGCATGATGGGAAGATGGCCCTGGCAGGAAGTTTCTTTGCTTGGTGCCATCATCTGTTCACTAATGACAGTGGGATCGAAAGGCCAGACACCAGTTTTGCGAAAGGCTGTGCGAATTAGATCTGGGGTCAGTGCTCGAAGATGAGCATGGCCATATATTGTGACGAAATTGCTTTTTGTAATGCCCTCGCCCTTTTCTCTCTCCCATTTGTCTCGTTCCTCACTCCAGAATTTCTTCAGCACCGCGAATACCACAACATCAAGTCCTTGGTATACATGAGTTGTATGAGAGGGATAACATATGACGTGAATTTGGTGAGCTCGTGCATACTTCAAGAATCCCAAAGTGTAGTGCGAATTATGACCGTCGACTATATGTAGCCAGTCTCGTCCATTGGCCTTTCCTTTCGTGCGTTTATCAAAATCTTTGATGTATTCCACGCCAATTTCACCATCAGTCCAGCCTTTCTTAGAGTATCCAATGCTGTGTCGCAATTTGATTTATATTGTGATTTTCGAGTTATATGATGAACACTTACGATGTGTTTGCAGGATTTTCTTGATGCCATTTCGTCTGATAGGCATTGCCTTTCAGAATGACTACAGGTGGAATTGAGGTACTGTCGGCACAGATGGTTACAATGACAGTGATGTTTTCCCTGCTTCCGGTTCGTTGCTGATATTGGGGTGTAGGTTTGTGACCACCAATAACATATTCGCGCATTCCTGATTCAGGTGATATGCCAATCTCATTGGCAGCATAGATACAGTCTTCGTCAATGCACTTCTCTTCCAGCACAGCTCCCAGCAGTGAAAACCACTCTTTGTGGGTATTGGGGTTTACTGCCCGCCCACGTTTTGAATCCAGTGAGCGTAATCGTGAGGTCTTCAAGCGGTCAGTGTGTTTCTCAACAAACCGGTATGACCAATGCTTGCCAACACCAGGAAATGTATCTCCAAGCCGTGCATGTAGAATCTCGTTAACATGCTCTCGTAGTCGTTGGTGGCTTAGTGGGAAGCCTCGGTTTCCTGTCTCCTCTGTAAATGATAGAACAACCTCAGCTTCTTCCTCTGTCAGCCAGCTTTTGTCTGCTGCATTAGCCTCTGCCTTACTGCGGCCCCCTGCAGCAAGCCGGATCAGTGTGCAATATGAGAGCTTAATGAGCTTGCCCGTTGACTGCAGATTGATCTGCTTGAAATCTTTGCATATGGTCCATGCTCCACGACGTCGAATCCCTGGTGCTTTTGCAAGTTCTCTGCAGTAGGCATACACTGCTCGAAACATAAGATCATTGTGTGCTTGGTGAGCTTCTTGCTGCTTCCTAGTTATAGATTTTGCTCGCCCAGCCATGGAAAGGTGAATACACAGTGGGCCGAGTTCATTCACTGAGTGGAACTGTAATTCGGAATTTCGGATCTTGAATGCCATATGGGCCTGTCACAGTGGATGCTGAAAACCCTTTGTTAGACCGTACCATGTGCTATATCACTCAAATTTCAACAAGAGTATGCTCTCTGTGTAGCCAACATGATATTACACTTGACACATGCAATATTTTGGTAAAATATGAGTCTTCTGAGTTGAGACTCGATGGTGAAATTTTGAAACTGTTCGATTTGGTGCTGTGTAAGCGCTCATTTTTTCTGCCTCCAGCAATTTCTCAAATGAAGTTTACTTCAAACTCAACAATAAACGAGGTCTACAGGATCTTTATGTATTCTGAATAATTTGAGACTTGTATTTTGTGTCGTTCTTGAGTAAACAAGGATGTGTTTCAATGACCCGTGATTAACTGTAATATTTTACGGATCATTTTGCTGCATGTCGAAATTTCGCATTTACTTTGGATTAATAAAGTTTAAATTTGAGCCAATATTTTTCGAAAGGGAAAAACTTCGAATATTCTATACATTTAGATGAAGCTCAAATTGGTGTCGAAATGTGTTGTTGTGCTTTGTCAGTCGAAATTTGCCATTTATCCCAGTGATAAAATCGAAAGTACAAATGGCTAATTTGTCATTCTCATTTCAATCAAAATCTTGCCTGAGGGAAAACTCCGAAACCGCCGATGTGTCAGTTGCTACCAATACACATCGCTTGTTTAAAAATAAAAATAAAAAGTCAGACTGCAGTTTGATATGCAACACACTGTAAACGTGGCCAGAGTCTCGTTACATGAGGTTGCTGGGTTGCGAGGTCTAGCAATCCGAAGAGTCTCACACATGATGCATTGTGATTCACAAAAAGCGTTGGAGGGATAGACACTGATCTACAATTCCATCACGATACAGAGCGACCAACCGGTCAACTCTTTCCTCGACAAGAAAGACGACTTTATACAAATAACAAATTTTAAATTTTATGCAGCAGCAGCAACATCCCCTAGCTGCTGACGTTCTCTCGAGGTCTCGTGGTGCTGCTGGAGCAATCGGTCGAGTGCCTCCTTTTGACCGACTGCGAGCTCTCCAGACTGGATGCCGGAGTGATATATACGCAGCAGGGAGTCAACATCGTCCATTGATTGAGTGCGGACATCAGCGAGCTCCTTGATCTTGGCAGTTGCATCCTTGACCTGTTACGGTTGTATTAATAAATTGTGGAAGGGCGAGGCAAAGACAATATAGCAGACCTCATCGTCGGTGAGATTGAGTCCGAGCTGCTCAACTCTTGACTTGACAGCGTTCCAGCCAGTGAGACGGTGTCTGATGGCAAACATCAGCCTATCACGAGTCATGAACGGCTAGGAAAGGTACACACCCAATCGACACGTATCGGGTAAGTCCAAAGTCTTCGGGCTTTAAAATCTCGTATGTGCTAGGGTTGTTCAAGATCGCCTTGGCATGAATACCAGCCTTGTGCGTAAAAGCACAGTAGCCGGTGATCGGGTTCATGAAAGGCACGTTGACCTCTACTGCCTCTGCGACGAGGTTTTCAATCTCGCGCAGCATGGGTAGATTGTACTTGGCCTTGACGTATTCTGGATTGGCAGCGTACAGGCATGCCACGAGACCACCGAGAGGCGTGATACCGACACGCTCACCAATGCCAAGGACCGCTAAGAGAGATTCAGCCACGTACCAGTGAGGAAAAAATGAATATACGTACAGGTATCGATGTGTGTTGCGCCGGCCTCCAACGCGCAATAAGCGTTGGCGATTGCCATTCCGGTGTCATTGTGTAAGTGGATCTCAATATCACAACCAACGACGCCGCGGAGGGTACGAACGAGGTCATAGACTTGTCTAGGGTTTGCGCATCCAACGGTGTCAGCTATGCCCACACGGTTGACACCAACCTTGTCGACAGTCTGGTATATGGAAAGTAGATCGACGAGGTCGGAACGGAAGGAATCTTCTGAGGAGAAGCGAACTTCGATGCCCTTGGACTTGACGAATGTGATGACTTCGATGGCGGTCTTAGTAATATAAGTCATGTCCTTGCCGTGGGAGAATTCGCGGAGGAACGAAGATGTTCCAATCACAACATCGACCCCATCGACACCTACGGATTGTGCAAATGAGTAAAAAGATAGGGTGAAATGGCTGTGAATCTCACCAGTTTCGACAGCGATTCGTGCATCGTCCATGTGGCAACGAATGTGGGTGAGAATTTTAGCCTTGAGACCGAGCTTGCAGATGGCCTCGCAGTCAGCACGCGATTGCTCAGATGCAGCGGGAGAGGTTAGCTCGATGTACTCGACACCGAATGCATCAAGGGCCTTGGCGATTGCGATTTTTGTTTTGGTATCGAAGAAGGCGTTGGCAAACTGCTCACCCTCTGGATCACCAGTCAAACAAGGGCAAAGTACAGAAGACTTGCAAGACGTACCTCGAAGAGTACTCTCGATGATGGAGAAATTTGATATGTTGCTTAGAAAGTCTGATGCGCGTGGTGCATACGGATTCCTGCGCTGTGCTTCACTGGGGTGTCCATTGGCACCGTTCGCGCCGTTGATGCCGTTGGATTTGGCAGCATTCAGGCCGTTTGTACCGTTGATCTGGATCATCTGTGTCTTGTCAGGCATTGATAGGGATTCTGTATTTTGATGTGAGCAGGAGCACGGCATTTTATAGTTTTGAGAGGACGATGAATAAATCAAGGAGGATAATGCGTATGATAATCAGAACGAGTCACGATCGATCAAAATTAGCTTGACACACTTACAAGCCTGGGAATGACAAATAATTTAATTAACAATAGGTAATGAGCCCCACACCAATACTCGAGGCAGATTGCGACATCGGACGTTGCACGAGTCTCAAATGGACGGTCAATGATAGGTTCCCTTAAGCTTTCCGTGGCTCCGTCCGCGCCACTGTCCGAGCACCACTGACATGCATATACCCCTATACTAGATGGCCACCCGCAAAATCACACCATTGCATAGTATCTTTTACATATGTATGGCTATTTAAATCACTTGTCTGTGATCACCGTTCCGTATGAGTAAGTTTCAGACATTCTGGTATCGCTGTGCTTCTGTAGCAGTTGAACACGCTCGCAACGGCCAAGGCAATCTCATTATCTAGTGCCTGAGCGCTGAGCACCTCACCTGCAAATACAGTCGGAGTGTGTCTGTCAGACCAGAAGACATGTCAAGTGATAAACATCACTAGCGAGGGAATGCCAGGGTCATGGGACAGGAGACGATAAAGCATAGTTGGTGCCAGAAATCTAGGTGCACTGGCCAATTAAAATAGTAGCTTATACTACGTAGTGATAGTACAGAGGCACAGAAAGAACGACGTGAGCGAAATTTGAGTTTGAGGGTGGAATGCATGCTAGTAGTGTATCTCGTCCATAGGAACCACTGCACACGATCAGAGGAGTCGGAGACTGTTGCGGGCTCGCTTTGTACAACGAATAATTAACCGCTCGGGTGGCTGTCTCCGAAAGGAATATCCAGGCTGCGAAATCCAGCTGGCATGAGTACCGACTACGGTGCGAGATTCGCAATTAATGATATCGTGAATGTGCCAGCATGGACCCTGTCCCAAAAGTCAGCGATGAGACGAAATCAGGTTGAATCGTGGATTTCAAGGCAGTTCTAAGCTTAAGGTGTTCTAACGCTCGTCCAGATATGGCATCTAATCCCAATTCCCCGTAGAATTGATGAAGAACAGCAACGATTTCCTGCATCAGATATCAACGTCTGCATAGAGTTTCTCTCCTGAGGATCGCATACTCAACTATTTTCAGGCTCCGGTTGTGGTGGCTGAGAAGGGCGCTGACTCCACGCAGCGCAACGACAAATGCTACTTAACGTGTGTTTGCGTGCGAGATGATAAAGGACGTAATAAAATGTTAGTCCGTGTGTGATGCGATGGAAATTTTCGACCGTGATGGCGAAACTCCCCAATCTATGAATATGAGGAATAAAGTCTGTCCTTCGGTTGCAAGGATTCAGTACTCAGAGTGGGGCACAGAGTCACTGCAACGACTACACACCGCTGCATACACATATAACCACTCTAGCTCTCATTTGCAATGTTCGACTCTCATAGACATACCTGGTCCGTACTCGTTACACGTTTAGCGTAGTGGTAAAGCGAGAGTAGGTTTCATTCCAGCGTGTTTGCAGATCGCCTAATCTCCCGAGTGATTGTGTGGGTAGTATCATATGAGAACAAACATAGAGAGGACATGAATAATGCAATAACACCTGTCTAACCCCGTTTCTTCGACACACCGACCGTTTTCCCGCGACGGCCTACACCACGTTTCAAAAAAGTCATAGCATAAAGCGGGAATGAGTTGCTTACCAGTAGTTTTTGTGTGTTGACCGCGCACCCGCAGGCCCCAGAAGTGCCTGAGACCACGGTGGGCCCGAATCTTCTTCAATCGCTCGAGGTCATCACGCAACTTCGAATCAACACCGTTGGAAAGGATCTGCGAGTCCTTGCCGTCTACAATGTCCTTCTGTCTGTTCAAAAACCATGTGGGGATTTTGAATTGAGTGGGATTTTGGATAATCGTAACAATACGCTCAAGCTCGTCAGAGTTCAATTCACCAGCACTATACAATTATATGAGTAAATTGCGTACCACAGAATGGAAACACATACCGCTTGTTGAGGTCAACATCTGCCTTCTTGCAAACAAGGTTGGAGTAACGACGTCCAACACCCTTGATCTCCGTCAGAGCGTACATAATCTTGCGCTTTCCGTCAACATTAGTGTTGAGCAGACGCAGAATGTGCTGTGAATGGCGTAAATTGAAAGTAGATACAAAGTTCAAGGCGAACAGACCTGGAACTGTTGATGTGCTTCAGGAACGACGAGGGACATGGTAGTGATCTGCAGGTAAAGATTCCATAAGCCTGTTATCCAGAGGGGAATCCTTCCATCCAGCGAAAACCTGTCTCAATATCTTCTGATTCTTCCCAGACAAGTAAAGTGCCTCCTAACGGATTGGTGCGTGCATGAAAATGGGCTCACCTTCGTTCAATCGATAGCCTTGACGCTGGGTATGACAGCGAGCGGTGGGTGAATGGTGAGACACAATTTCTCGGCAAATTCCGCTATCCGCGATCACGTGGCCTGTGGTACAGTCGCGTGTTGCCATTGTGGCCGTGACAGTACTAGTGCTGATTTGAACTTGCTCGTCACTTCATTTTCTAACCACATCCTCATTACAAAGATCTGATACATGTCCAAGAGAAAGGTGGGAGATGCATTAACCATATCCTTGCCACCCTCTTATATTTCCAGCAGTGTAGCTCTCCAGCAATTTTGAACGCAGAACTCGAAGCTGTCCGCGGGAAGGTCTCCCTTGAAGAGACAGAGGAGTCATGGGACAAGATCGAGCAGGGCATCGTGCAGCTCACCCAATGTTGTAATAACGGTGGATGCGACTTCGCCACGGAAATGGTCGCTGGTATACGCTCGCTTTCTAGACCTATCAACCACGCTATGAATTCGGAGCGTAGTAGGCTCTCAGGTTCCACGATCGAACTTGTGAAGGCTCTGTTAACCGGCCTGGGCTCCTCATTTGAGCCCCTCGTCTCGCTGTTTATGCCGACTCTTCTCGGGCTTTGTGGCCGGACCAACAAGGTGTTCACAAGCCGAGCAAAGGCGTGCATTCTCGCTGCAATTGAAAATACTCAATCGACTTCCATTCTGCCGTATCTGGCAGACTCTTTAACCCAAAAGTCGGTTTCTCTGCGTTTAGTGGCTGCAGAGGGTGTCCTTGCTTGCCTAAACTGCTTCAATCCTCCTGATATTGAGAAGGACACGCGTGCTCGACTTATCGAAGACGTTATCAAGTTGACTGCCCGGGATGCCAGCGCAGACGTTAGAAGAGTGGGAAAGTTGATTTTTGAGGCATATAAAGCCCTTTTACCTGATCGCGTAGATAGGTTGGTTCCTAAAGCTTCCACTCGTGACATCCATGCCTGACATACATGATTCAGTTTCATTGCGCCCTTAACCCCTGTCATCAAGAAGTACTTAGACGTGAAAGGGACAGTTGCTTCACGGTTGGCTGCACAAGCAGTTTCCCGTGGTCCCGCAGCGACAGGAAGAGTGACCTCAAAGCCAATCGGGTCCCTCCAGGCTCAGAAGACGAGTTCTCATTCTAGAACTCCATCTACGCAGAGCACTACCTCCACTCGTGCTCCCGGGAAACATGCAGAGAGACCCATACGCCCTCCTAGCTCTGAGCTGCCGCGAGAGGTACCTACAGCAAGGCCACGTGCTGTGTCAAGTCAAGCAACATCTAGTGCAATTGCGGGGCCATCAGTGAGGGAAACATCTCGCCAAGGTGCACTCCGTCCCCCATCGGTGGAAACAGGTCCATCCACTATGCATAGCACAAATCGACGGAAGGACATCTCACGTCCTCCAGTTCCCACTATACAGGGCCCTCAGCGAGTAGGCACTGTGCTCATGAAGTCACACGACGAGAAGCCTCGTGTTGGAGGAGGAGCTCGAAGAGTTCTCATTCCCACAGCTCCTTTACCAGAAACCAATGACACCACGACAATACGGCCGGTTTCAAAGACCGGTCCTCCTTCAACCAAGCCAACTTCGGTTAACTCACTCGCACAATCTGTTCCGAAACGAGATTCACAGAATGATCCAGTAACCACAAAGATTAGCTCAACTGCCCCAGCTCGCGCTGCGTCGTCAGCGGTCACTGCTACCACCAGACCGTCATCTCGAACGGGACCACGGCCAGTGACAAAATTAGACAATCCGCCGACCAAGAGTACAAGTTCTCGGCCTGGTAGGTCACGGTCACCGACCGCGGAGGTTGAGCAACAGCAGACTTCCCGCAAGCAGGTTGTTGAACCAAGTCGTTCTAGCCAGCAAGCTGCAGTTCAGAAGAAGCCGGTGTGGGGAGGACGGTCGTCGGGCAAACCGTCTAAGCCTGTCGTCAAGGGACTTTCGATACGTCCCAAGCAGGGCGGGGTGAAGAGTTCTGACACTCGCAAGCCCGCACCGGAACACGTACCATTGCCTCCCAGTCCCACTGTATGTCCTACTGCAGTGCCTCTGCCATCTTCTCCACCTTGTAGTCCCCGTCAGTCACCTCAGCTCGAGCCACCAGCGTCAGGAGGGCAATCCATGCAATTTACTATCGATGATACACATGTCGCAAAAGATGTTCGTCCTCCCTCCACCTCCATTGAAGCTACGCCTCTGCGCAACGTGAACCTTCAGGAGTCCCCATCCAAAACACCCATAACAGCTCTCCTTTCATCCATTCAACGTGGATTCTTATTTACACCTTCATCGCCGCTCTCACCTCCCCAAGCTTATGTAACTGAAATCATTGCTCATACATACCGCCCGAACAGCCCAACAGCTCACAAAGACATAGCCTGCGTTGGTGTCATTTAGGATAGCAAGGCACGACAGATTGAAAGTTATGGATGTCAACTAGACTATATGCCTATCGTAGTAATTGACTCGGGATTAATGACATCCGTATACTAGAGCACAGTGTGGAACTTTGAGCATCATTCATAGTGCGGAAGGATCGGCTTCCTTGTATTGGGTCTGCCTACGAGAGACCACTATGAATCCTGCAAGTTTCCTGGTGCGCGAACCTGAATCTATGGTCAATCAGTGTATTAGAGACCAGAGGCGAACACATGCCATCCATCAATGACTCAAGAACCTGCGTCCCTTGAGTAGTCGTCTGGCTATAATCTTTCTACCAGTTGCGGTCTTCTTCCGAGCAAGAAAGCCGTGCTTTCTTTTGCGTTTTCGCTGCGAAGGTTGGTACTCGGTACCACGGGAGGCAAAACGCCTCTGACCGAGCGCGTCACATAGTGAAGGTAGTGAGAGTGTTTGTGGTACAAGTAGCGCGCGGTTGATTAGAATAGTGCGAGATGCCGGAATAATTGAATTCGCCGCAGTGAACGATGTTATACTGAGCAACGGTCTACGAAGCGCTCCCAGCAGTTGAAGAAACATGTTGAAGACTTCAAGAAGTGCTAAAATTTAGACTTCACAGGCGATCATCATCCAAGTCATGTGACCATTTAAGAAGTTCAGGGTTGTGCTCAACAAGTACTTACAAGCGACTTGGGGATCCTTCAGGATGTCGATAACGCCAGGAAAACCCAGAGTATCAGGTATTCCGACTCCTGGAAAGTCTAGCGGCATCCCTACTCCAGGCAGATTTCGTTCTTCATCGTCTGCCAATTCTCAACCCACCTTTGACTCTGATGTGGAGTTTATGTCGCGTGCATTCGTAAACGCCATCAAGGCCAATGATCCTGCACAACATCGCACCAGCACCACTTCGAATAATTCCCCTTCGTCATCTTCTCCAAAGTCAAGTTTAGCGACATTGCAATCAGGCCGTCGTTCTGTAACTGGTCGTCCTTCCTCGGTCGCCTCAACCTCGGCATTTGCACAGAGTAGAACAAAGACTCCGGGACCACGCGCTCCAAGCAGACAATCAGATGTTTTTACCCGTAGCGTAAGTCGAGCCGGGAAAACATTCGAAGTAGGAGACAATGTCAGGATAGAGTCTTTGGGGTTCGAGGGCTGCCTACGGTATATTGGAGAGATAGACGGTAAATCCGGCTTGTGGGCAGGAGTCGAACTTAGTGGAGGTTTTTCAGGCAAAGGAAAGAATGATGGATCTGTCGGAGGGTGAGTTTTCTGTTCCGTGTTGACTGCTAGCAGTGTCCGTGTACAATAACAGTTGCAGAGTATCTTGCTGAAAGTATTTCTGCAGGAAACAATACTTCGTGTGTCCTCCAAATTGTGGTGTATTCGTTGCTACCGCGAAGCTCTCTGCTCCCACCATGCCTTCTAGCTACCGGCCTCCCTCAGTGGCCTCCTCTCGCGGAGGTCGCATAACACCATCCTTTTCTGGCAGAGTCACTCCCTCACATTCACTATCTTTTGGAAGTGGACGCATCACCCCGTCCAACCTCTTTAGCCGCTCTAATGCTGGTACAACTCCTGCAGCTCGTAAGACAAAGCCAATTCCACAGTTAGGCTTGTCACAATCCCCAAGAAGACCCGGATTAGACACTCAAATTACCTCAGGTTCGAGGGCCTCCAAATATATCGGTCTCACAGCGAAACAATTGAAAGCCAATGGCGATGGTACCTCAGAGTATACTCTTCGTTCTCCATCTTCGCCATCACGCGGACCTCCAGTTGTTGATTTGAATTTACATCCTTCGGATTCTCCATTTACTACACCAAAGGCTGGTGCTGCTCCTCGTGCCCCCAATGTGTACAGCGGCGCACTCACCCCTGGCCTCAAAGGCCGCACTTCTCTAAATACCCCACGCCCAAGGATACCTAGCGCGATTGCTATGCCACCTCCAGCCTCACCTGCACGATCAGCATCCTTTACGTCTGCTTATTCTTTGAATGATGGCCCCGATCTCACACATGAGGATCCGACGTCGCGTGTTCAGCTGCGTTCTTCAATGGATCTGACTGCCTCTTCGCAGGCTTTGCAGGATAAGATCAACCAACTCCTTTTAGGGCAATCTATATCGCCACCCAAGATAAGTAGCACCAGTCCATCTCGACCGTCCTCAGTCACCTCCCTTCGATCTGCTTTTCCCGACAATGACTTGCAAAAGGATGCTCTACATTCTCGCCTAGAATCTCTCGAGCGCGAGAATGATTCTCTCCGTAATGCTGCTGACGCGGCTCGTGCAGACGTCGCGCTAATCCAAACACTCGAATCTGAGCGCGATGCAGCTCTCGCCTCTGTTTCCTCTACGGAAAACCAGCTCCGGACTCTCGAGCGTAAACTCGCCGAACGAGAGTCGAAGACTGAATCCCTCGAACGCGCCGCGCTGAAAACAACATCTGAACTAGAACGCGTCAAGAACGAGAATGAGGCTCGTATCACAGACCTGCAGGCCAAACTTGACACGAGCGAGTCACTCGTCAAGAGTCTGAAAGAAGCAATTGCGGCGAAAGAGGGCGTGGAGCATGATAGGGATGCGCTCCTTAAGGCCAAGAATGATGAAATCGGGCTTTTAGAAGGTCGATTAGAGAAGGTGTCAGGCGAGTTAGAGGCGGACAGAAAAGAATTAAACGCACAAATTGATGAACTTCGTCAAGCTGGCCAGGTCAGCTATATTACATTTGAACTGACATAAACTTGACCATTATTTTAGGAAACAATCGCGTTGTACGAAGAACGTCTCAGCACAGCGGATTCCCGTCGATATGAGCTTGAGGACCGCGTCGTCTTTCTGGAGGACCAGGTCAAGAAAGCCTCGACTCCTCTCTCTCCAAGCACCGCTCTCCAACGCGCCACTTCTGCTGCTGAAATTGACAATGAGAATCTTCGCGAGCAAGTGCAACACTTGCAACGCAAGCTTACAATGCTAGAGGACTCTCTCGAAGATGCTCATGCGGTATCTGAACGAGAGGAAGCTGCCGTCCGTGAGCGAATCAAACGGTTCAAGGACAAGGAGGATGTGATGCGAAGCGAACTCAACGAGGGGCGCAAGACTGTTGAACAGGTTCTCAAAGCTGAGGCTCTCGCTAAAGGTCGCGTCGAAGAGGTCGAAGAGGCCTTGCGAGAAAGTACTCTTGCGCTCGAAAACGCCCAGGCCGAAATCGAAAATCTGAGATCCGACGTTGCTGTGAGTAGCTTATTTCGAGTCACTTCACATGTTAACTGAGTCCATCAGGTTGCTAGGCTGGAAATAGACGGCATCCCCGACTCGCAGAAACTCAAAGCTGATGAGCGCACGCGCCTCATAGAGGAAATTCAAGAGCTGCGTGACGAACTCGATCAATTGCGATCATCTGCAGCATCGGCCTCTTCAACAGCTGATGTAAGAAGCTACCCTGATTTCATATATGGTCATTGACAATCAAGAGTGTAGGACGATACCAATTGGCAAGCGAAGCACGAGCAAATGCAAAAGGAGGTGCTTGTTTTGCGCAAGAGTCTCGAGGAGCGTGCTTTGGAGCTCGACACTATGAAGAAAAGACTTAACCGCGACATTCCTGTCAACGGCATCCAAGAGCCACCAAGGACACCAACCTCGTCTAAGCAGGAATCCGCGGAACTAATGGGTCTCAAGTTGGTTTTGTTTCTATAATTCTCCTTCTCGCGCTCATATATCATTAGACACATTATCCAAGACTTGCAACAAGAGACTTCAGCAGTGACTCAGCGAAATAAGTTACTAGAGTCTGAGAACAGACTCTTGATGTCAGAGACCGATCAACTTCGCCAGGTACGACTCACGTGAAGCAACCGACGAACTATCATTTACCATTTATTGCAGGAACTGAAATTACTGGAGGAGAACATCGAACAGAGTTTGTTACGTGAAGAGGCTGCTCTCGGAACGCAGAACACAACGGCATCTGGTGATGAGCAGATGTCTAGGTTGGAAGTATGTCAACGCGTAGTGTATTCAGCTTGTCAAACTGACTTGTGTCGCAGAACGAACTGGAACAGTCGCGTAAGCGCTTAACTGAAGCTGAAATGAAGACCGCCCGTGTTACACATGATGTACGTGCCAGTCTCTCTTGTTATACCCTCCTAACCAGTATGCAGCTGAATAAAGAGATTGGTGAGCTAGAGGCGCTCGTGGAATCAAAGGTATGTGTCATCAATACATGTGGCACAGATTCTGATTCGATTTATAGATCTATCGCGAAGTAAGTTTCATCCCACAACTCATAGGTACGCTGTCATACTTATTTAACTTCTTACAGGATGAACTCGAACAAGAACTCGAGCGTCTTAAAGAGAAGTTGTCGCGGAACAACAAGAAGTCGTCAAAGAATTGCCTCGAACCAACAGATTTGCCTCCTCGCAAGCGTTCATCCACCCCAAACATTAATCGAAGTTCTAGCGAAGACGTCTGTGAGATCTGTGAGAGACCGGGGCACGACATCTTCACTTGCGACCTTTTGCGGGACGAGACGCCCCCTGCTCGTGAGCAAAACGCAGTCAAGAAGACAAATGGAGATCCGTCAGACTTGTTTTGCGTTGACTGTGAGGGGCACGGGCATGTAGCTGCTGATTGTCCACACTCATTGGATGTCTTTTGAATTTTGTTGAACCTTTTTTTTACACCACTGTCGTTTTCCGTACCCCCTCTTACAGGATACACCTTCATGCACACATGGATCACCTACATAACGTATTTTCAGTTAGTAGCACATACCAATCTGCCATCATATACACCCTTCCCAAAATGACGAGAAAGGCAAGTGTCTCCTATGACGCAGTAAAGTGACGTCATAATGTCTGCGTTCCACAAACATGAGACGACAAGCACCTTCACATTGAACGTTCTAGTTTCTGAACCAAACCTCGAATCTTATAATATGTCCTACGCCTCTGTTGCTGCTCACGATGCTCCTTCCTCATCTGAGCAGGTATGTACTTACGAAAATTGGAACACTACTGGGTCGTGCTCACTAGTGTGCCCCTCAGCCTCGTCCGGATCCTGCGCTCCTCACTACCGAACGCTCCTCTGCAAGTAATGTTATTGACGACACCCTTAAAGTAAATGTCGTTTCCAGCGATTTTAAAGAGAACCCTGCGACATACACATCCAAAACATATGTTCCAGAAGACATTGATGACGATCTTGTCGACCCAGGCAGGAAAGCGGTGACAGGTAAAGGTCATAAGCGCCTTCAAGAGGCTCAGGCGGAAGGTATTTATTTGTGGGAGGTCACAAAGCACTATTTGTTTCGTCCAGGTGTTGCTGGTGGTCTCATTGGCCTAGGTACGGTCGGATTTTTCTGAATCTCTGTGTTGGTTGACCATGCTATCCCTAAGTGAATGTCGGCCTTCTATCTCGCGTGGGCTACGGATTCTACACGAAACCTAGTCTTCGTCAGAATTTCACTGCCATCAGCTCGGCAGCGGCAGGAGCACTGCTATTGATCGGCACTGAAGGTTACGCAGTACAGAAGTATCGACAGACCCCTATCGGTCGTCAGGAGGAACGACGCGCGCGTGAGGAGGGCACCCTCATCTACAAGCAGCTTCGAGAGCACGTTTTTCGTCCGGGTGTCTTGGGCGGTTTGGTCGGACTAGGTTAGCGAAAAACCATTTGCCGATTTCTTGAAATGTTCATCCCCCCTTTTATTAGTCAACACAGCAATCCTTGGAGCAGTGGGGTATTACAGCTATGCAAACTGGCACAAACCTAAGTGGAACCGGGATGTCGTCACCGCTGTTGCATTTGGCCTGCTCACGCTTTGGGGTGGCGAAGGGTGAGCAAGATGGTGCTGCTTTGCGTCTGCTGATGCTAAGATTCACTTGCAGATATCTTGCAGAGCGTTATCGTGCAGAACGGCGGAGACAGTAATGCTAGTAGGTTGTATTTGGAAGAGCACTTGTACACTATGTCAGCTTACTTCGATGTTTTTTTTTACTGAGCGCCAAGTGTGTTCGCAGACTAGACAAGTCACTTGAAGAGATTTTCTATCCATCAATTCACCACTGAGTGTATGTTAAAGAGCAAGGAATGGCACACGTATCATTTCATATCGCACAAAAAAAAGAATTGAAAGTTCCATGGTATCAAACTCGACGGTAGGCTGGGGTGACGGCCTGACAAAGTAAAAGTGGTGAGTCACCACAGAACGTTGACAGGGGGAAGACAAGACACGAAGAAGCCTGCGCAAGGATCGCAATCTGCATAAGATCTTGGAAATTAAATGACAACATGATGTTCATGTTGTCTTCTCAGTGAACGGTGTACTTCTGTCTTGCGTTGTCTATGCACTGTATACAAGCCTTCCACAGAAAGTACGTGATTGTGGCTGGTCAGTCTTCGTCTTCGTCGCTTTCTTCCTCTCCTATACTGTCTTCATCATCGCCTTCGCTGTCTTCCGGTTGTGCGGCCCAGTCTGAAATGTCGAGCTTTTCATGTCGCACTGATTCTGTCAAGAATGATTAGTTGTGCTGTTGAAGTAAGCAAGCAGGGCTCACCATTATCTTTTACTTCGTACCCAGCCTGGGTAACGCATTTTACCAACTCTGCTTTCGTTCCTACAGTAGTACTGTTGCCCAAGATGCATCCATCCAGCTTCGCCCTGGAGTAAGGTATGTCATTGTCAGATAATAAATTGAAGATTACACACCCATCAGAAATCACACAATGATCCAGAAGAACGCATCCCACAATCTTCACCATCTTTCCGATGACACAATGTTTTCCTATTGTAGAATTTTTAATGGTTGACTTCTCTTCGACACGTGTGAAGTCTCCAATGGAGGTATCAGCTACGAACTGATGTATCTCATTTTCAGTGATGATCTGATTAGGACAAGAAGAAGACAAACGTGACGATTTGCTTCGAGGTACGCTGGTAGATTGTTGACGCGAATAGCGAACCCGTCATCCGCTCGATGAATTATAATTCCTATTCGAATGCTCGTAGCATATTTTTCCTGCTTAGTCGATTGGTATTGCAATTTGCATAACCAAGGAAAGAAGTCGTCTCTGAGAGAGTCAAACCGAGTCTTCCGGGCCAACAAGTCGAGCACAGCACGTTTACAAACGTAAACATGCGAGTCTAGCAGCATCGAAGACAACTTCGCCTGTGGATATCTAAAGAATTGAGTCACCACACACAACTGCGGAACGATCTAAATCACCTTGAGAGTAAGGTCATGCGCAACTCTAGTTCATGCCTGTTTTTATCAGTTTCATAAGGACTATCTACATATAACAGGGTGCCACTGAGATGATCCCATACGATCGGAGTTGGTTTTGCTGGAGAACCCCAACCCCACTCGTCTTGAGTGGCTTGCTTGTCTGATTTATGTTCATACCAACACGAAGTCACAATGGAACCATCCGACATCGTGTCCGTGCGGAACTTGTTGAGCAGCTTTGATAAAGGTAGGGAAGGTGGCGGTATGAAGTCGCAAGGGATGAGAATGAAATCTTCCTTGATGCGGTTGGCGAAATGGCGAAGTACGGAGCACGTCCCTGCACTTAGTTCCTGTGATTCATCGAAAGTCTGGAGGTCAATGTGAACGGAAGAGAAGGATGCAGATGAAGACTGTGAGTGGATATAATGTGATATTGCAGAGCGGTGGGATGAAGGACAGATCAAAAGGACATCTGATACTTGATAAGCACATCCTTGATCCAAACAAGTTGTATGAAGTTATCAAGTCCACCTTTGATACCAGACTGCTCGACCCATGACAAGGGATAGTCGAGCATGGGTTTATTTGAAATCGGAAGCAACGCCTTTGGACAGGGCTCATCACCATGTTCACCAGTCAAAGGCAGCAGTCTACAAATGAATGATGATATAGTCAATCCATAATTCACGAGTGTCAGGACTTACTCGTTCCCAAATCCCGCAAGGATAACTGCTACGAATTCACGAGTGACTACTTCAACTGGAGTAACGTCAAAGTTCATCATCGTGCGCAGGGATAGTTTCTGATTTGGATTTTATCGATTTATTATGATCAAGAGTCAATACATACCCTCCTACTGTGACATTGTGACAGTCACGTACAATTGCGTTAACGGGACTTTGTGTAGGTAGCTTCATCGATAATCTCCAGGACGCCTCTGTCAGCATTGTGCTTGCCGCAATGGCTGCTCAGCCAACCGTGCATCAACTATTCAGACGCCTGGAAACTGTAGGCAAGGGTGCCTATGGTTCCGTCCATAAAGGCGTCCATATACCCACCGGAAATATCGTGGCCCTAAAAATCATCAACTTAGACACTGCTGACGACGACGTGGAAGCCATTCAACGCGAAGTAGCTCTATTAACCCAGCTTCGCGATGCCCCAAACGTCACCAAGTATTATGGTTGTTATCTTGACGGCCCGCGTGTTTGGATCGCTATGGAATTCGCCCAGGGCGGAAGTGTCCGCACTCTCATGCAGACTTCCAAGGACCGTGTTCTTGAGGAGCGGTTCATTGTACTTATCACCCGTGAGGTTGTCATTGGGCTCAATTACCTACATAAATCTGCCATCATCCATAGAGACATCAAAGCCGCTAACATCCTCATCACTGCCACCGGTAAAGTTATGATTTGCGACTTCGGTGTCTCCGCACTCTCTGCCACAACTACGAGCAAACGAAACACTCTGATGGGCACCCCGAATTGGATGGCTCCCGAAGTAGCACAGCCAGTGCCAACGTACGATAGCAAGGCCGATATTTGGAGTTTGGGCATCATGATTTATGAGATGGTGAAGGGTGCACCTCCTCACTCAGATTTGAGGGATGCAATCAAGGTCATGCAGTTAATAACCAAAGTACAACCCCCTCAATTGGTCGAAGCGGATGGTAGCAAAGAAATGCGAGAGTTCGTATCGCACTGTCTCAAAGTCTCTCCAAATGAGGTGAGTTTTTGGATTTTGATGTCACCGTGATTAATGGCATAATTAATTCGAGGAACAAGCGATTTTCTGCTGATGAATTACTAAGAACGAAGTGGATGAAATCGGTGTCAAAGGCAAACGTGTCTACTTTACGGGAGCTGATACTCCGGTACGATGCTTGGATGAAAAATGGGGGTACTCGCAATAGCTTAGCGGAACCACTCGACTGGGAGAATGAGGAGAAAAGAGAGTGAGTATCATTTGTCCAGCACTCCTTACTGACTAAAGTTATTTCTTAGCTTGCAAGGCGTGGTAGATGAAGAGACAGACCTTTGGGAATTCGACACAATAAGACGTCGGACGTTTCAAGCTGCATTGAAGGAAGATTTATTACCGGACACCTTTCCAGCTGACTCGTCACCATCAGTTCCTACTATCAAGCCTTCAGCACGGTTACCTACATCATTGCGTGGCCTTTTTGATGATGACTTTGTGCATCTTGGAATCGAAACCTTGCGGGCTCCAATGCCACCTCTACCACTACGTGATACTCCGAGCCCAACACCTCTAGCACCTCCTTCTTCATCACCATCACGTGATCGTCCGCCGTTCAAACGTACATTAGCCATTGCAGACAGCACAGATGATGTTCAGATGGTCAAATACAACGATTTCGCGTTTCCTCCCAGGACAGGTTCTCGAGCTAAATCGAAACTCTCCAACAATGTTCCAACTGCTATGGGCGTGGAAATGAAAGAGGAAAACACACCTCCAGAGGAGAAGGCTGAAGGTATATACGTTGTAATTGACATCAGCTGTTGACGAATCATTCTTTTTGCAAGCTTCTGTTACCGTCATGGAGGCTACTCCGACCTCTCCTCTTTTGCCGCCCGTTAGGCCTTTTGCGGCCCGAGAGAGGAGTGGTAGCTCGTCAAGCAAAGGCAGTGATGGTGGCAGCTCTGCAGCAAGTTTAATTCTGCCAGGACTCAAAGACGCAGTGAAGGTAGCAACGACAGTATATTATCTAATTGTTCGCTCATGTCGTTCTAGGTGCCTACCATTACGTCGGAGCACCAGTTGGGTTTAACAGACTTGCTCCCGCCTTCGCCCATGGCCCTTATTCACAATAAAAGCTCTTATATACATTCTCCTAGCGGACTTGGATCACCCGCGACGACAAGTGAAAAGAGCTCCGTCAGTCTTGGCTCCCTTCCTGCCGCGAATGCTTCCAGCGCTTCCCTTACACTTGCACGAAGCTATTCTCCCTCCGGGCCTTCTAACCTTTCTCACTCTGCTTCATTGTCTCACTCTGGTCTATCAGCACAATTGGCGACTGTCGGGCCTCAAGTATTGCCACTGGATCTCTGTAATATCATGAACCATGACGCCACGAATGTGCAGTTGGTACGGTCTGTCAATGATTTAACAAAATGGTTGTCTATAATCGAAGTTGGTTTTGCAACGATGCTCGAACAAGCCGCAGGGGACTCTATAGCGGAAGAGCAGGAAGAAGGTGCTATTGAAAGAGATCCTTTTACGCAAGATATGGACGCATGGAAATGGGATTCTGTAACTGATATCGTCCTAGAGTCCAGCTAGTTTTCAGAATTTGATCATCTAGATATCCTCACATTATAGCCAGTAATAGGTAGGTATACGGACTATATGGACTTGGTATGGACCCCTTTTTTCTATCCTTGGTAACTACGAAATATAATTATGCTTGGTGAGGTATTCGATGATGACCTCGACTGCTTTGGTTACATCACATTCGTCTGTCTTGATGTGTATATCAGGTTTCTCGGGAGCTTCGTACGGCGCAGATATGCCAGTGAAGTCTATATATAAATTTTGTAAGTGCCTTCGTCTTACAGAGATGGATGTCGTGGTGGTGACTTACCCTTTATTGTTCCTGCACGGGCTGCTTTATAGAGCCCTTTCGGATCACGCTGTTCAACTACACTGAGAGGGGCATCAACAAACACTTCAATGAACCCGAGGCCTCCTTTCTCATGAAGTTCGCGGGCTACTTGTCGATCTGTTCTGTAGGGCGATATAAAAGCTGTGATCGCGATGCAAGCAGAATCCGCGAATAGTTTGGAGACCTTCAAAGAAAGGTAAGGATGTGCTCGTAGTCCTGGACTCCTGATGTAGTACCTCGCCTATGCGCCTGATATTTTCTACTCGTGACTTCTCATCGAAACCAAGGTCCTTATTGAGCCCTAAGCGAACGTTGTCTCCGTCTAACCGATAGGTGAATTTGTGTAGGTGGAGTAGATGTTGCTCGAGAGCACATGCTATCGTCGACTGCGAAGGAATCAGAGCACCAGTGGTAAGATGAGACGGGAGCAGACCTTCCCACTAGCACTGAGTCCAGTCAGCCAGATAGTGACGCCCGTCTGTTTAAGCAAGTCAACGCGTTCTTGGGCATCAACGGATCCTATAAACCTTAGTATTTTACTTATGGATAAAAGGCGTTCCAAGAACACACCTGGATGGAAAGTAATGTTGGTTGACATTTCAGTACTAGTGGAGGAATAAGTAGAATAGCTTCAGTGACTCACTGTGTTATATCCAGCTCTCCGTGACCGGACTCCCGATTCCCCATGTATAAATGACTGACCATGTCGCAATCTAGGCTCAGTATGACGGCATGACTGAGTCATATATAGTACTAGGGCTCAATATAGTCGCTGACTATTCAGTGATGTGCGGCAGCAGTTCATTGGGAAGATTGTTTGTACTATAACTGCGCTGCATCATAACTTGAAAAAGGGTCTCTACATGCCACTTGTGAAGTATACTAAGGTATTGCTGCTAGAGTTATCAAACGTGATAATAATATTACTCTACTCATACTGCTTCACGCCTCCTAGGCGATGCACGTAGAATATCATCCACCCTGTTGACGTTCAAAGTTAAATAACAGATCATGGTCCGAATAGTACATTACATACCTTATTATCATCTCTGCTGCCTCGCTTGCGCTGAGCACAACCTGCCGCTTCAGCTTATAGCTCTCCGTAACACCTAATTGTCTCATCGAGCCAATGGTGCCCTGGTTCATATCTGAAGATCCTGTAAGTTCGAAATCCACGCCTGAAAAGTACACGATCATACCGAGCCCGGCATCTGACTGTCCCTCATAATGTGCGGCTCTCAGCCTGGCAACGAGATCGCTCGAATCATAGCCAGCATTGTCCGCGAGGATAGTCGGTATTTGCCTCAGAGCACGGCTGAATGCCTCGGCAGCTATTGCCTTCTTGCCCTTGACCTTCCGCGCGGCCTCCTCCACAGCGCAACTCATTAACATCTCGGAACATCCACCGCCCAAGACAATGCGAGTCTCTTTGACTGTCTGCGATAAGACGGAAAGTGCATCATGTAACGAGCGCTCGGCCTCATCAACCATCTGATTGGTTGAACCACGAAGCACAACAGTGCAAGCTTCGCCCGCAGCAACACCAGAGAATTTTATAAGCTGTAAATCATGATCAGCTCAAATCATCAATGAGATGATGACGCCAACCTTATCCTCGCCGATGATGATTTCCTCGATCAAATCGCACTTCCCAAGTTTCACAAGATCTGGTTTTTCGAACGTGCTTGCGATTTCACCACCAGTGACGAGTGATAGCCGCTCAACACCCTCAAAATCGGCGTGCTCAATCACCATGATACCTTTCTCTGCCAAGAGAGATTCGGGGTAATTGTAGATGAGCTGTCGATTGACAAAGCAATTAATACCATGTGCGGCGATCGCGTCGACTTTGGCTTTCATTTTTTCCTATAATGCGTGGTTAGAAAATTGAGAAGGCCATAAAAGTGTGCTTGTACCCGTTCAGCCCGTTCAAGCTCAGCAAGTTTTCCAGTGGAGTCAACTTTTACTCTGGCTCCAAAGATCTTGATCTTATCAGTATCCATTGCTTTTGAGGAACTGGGCTTCAGTTCCAGATCAATGCGAGTTGAACCCACACATACAAGTATTGGCAATTAGAATTTTTGCGTTCTCCATCCGTTTAGGGGAGTTCACAGCAATGGTTTTGTCAAGAATGAAACCTGTATGAGTTGCGGTCGTGAGATAAGTAAGATTCATTGCGTCTTTCGACAGACCTTCGTCAAGGTATGAGTCTGTGAGTTTGCCTCCGACCTTTTTGATGACCTGAATGTGCTCCAGATCTGTTGACCCCTAGAAGACAGTCAGAGCTAGTGTCAAATAGTATCAGCGTTTACAATATACCTTTAATCTAAGCACAGCATCTACAGCTAGGTTTGCAAAGTAATCTTTTTCTTGTGATAAAACTTTTGATGACAAGGTCGTACGGGCGATGTTGAAAAGATCCTGGCGGAACTGGGCAACATCGGAGCTATTTGAGAGCACAAACCGAGTCGTGCACGTAAGCAATCAGAGAGCAACACCAAAAAACGCGAAAACATACGCGTGATCGACCGCTGCATTCTCCAGTGCCGCAAGCGCAGCAATGCTTGCGACCCGGTATCCCTCCACAATCGTCTGAGGATGTATTTTGATTGCAATCAACTTCTCTGCTTCCCTCAGCAGCTCTGCTGCTAGCACACACACGCTCGTTGTTCCGTCTCCAACTTCGTCGTCTTGGACTTTTGAGATGTTGACGAGGATCTTGGCGGCTGCGTTGTCGAGCTGGATGGACTTCAGGATCGTTGCACCGTCATTGGTCACCTGAATATCTCCTGAAGATGCCGACTGCAGAATCTTATTCATGCCTTTTGGCCCAAGCGTTGATTTTACGAGGTCGCCGAGAGCGAGGGCGCCGACGAAAGAAGATAGACGAGCATTTTCAGCTTTCTCCTCTGTTGCCTGCAGAACGAGAGATATTACACGATGTGCAAAAGCATCAAGCTGCCAGAGCCTACCTGTTGACCGAAAATATGCATGGACATGTCTACAGTTTTGGAGATTGTGGTATAAGATCACAGTCAATCGTGCTCCACCACGAAATGCAGATTACAATCATGATTTCTAATTGTCCCCGATGCGAACAACACCCCTGTCCAGTGATCATTTTCTACATTCCACATGTACTGGTGCAGAGATCGTATACATCCTCGGTATTTACATAGTACTCCAAAGTCCCATGTCAACTATGTAACGTTGCCGAGTTCCCTGGTACTGCTGTTACGGTATGTTAATTAAGTAGATGGAATCACAGACTTTACTGCAGTCCCACACAACCAGATGACAGACTTCTTGATGGCTTCCGTTACCTCTTCTGTGCTCAGAGGTTGATCAACAGGTGGACAATGCAGGAAAATGACTTTAGTGGTCGATTTATCAGCCTTCCCATTTGCTCGTTTACTCTCGGCTAGTGAGCAGTAATATATGAAGTCGCAAAGATAGTGTCCTGCATCCAGGGACGAATATATTTGCTTCCCAAATCATGTCAATATTCCTGACAAGATACAAGCAGATCACTCTCACCTCGACACCCGACTTTTTGAGGTGATGCACGAGCTTCTCGACATCAATTTCTGTGAAAATCTCCTCGGAGAAGGACTCGTATCCCTTTCCAAAACCACGCTTAGGTGGTTCTGTACCATCAACAGGTGGTTCAATGAGGTATTCACTTAAGCGTGCTCTTTCCATCCTCTCCATCTCCGAAGGTTCTGATTGACCGCGATTGGAGTTAGAGGTTTCCTCACGCGTCACGCGTACGATCGGCGCATGACTACCAGTGGCATCCTTCATGTTGTAGCCAAACTTATGACCAACTCTCTCCATCCGTAGTGGTCCTCTCCCAGCGACGCCAACGTGAAAGATGAGATCGAATCCATCTGTTGGCAATATGATGTCTGGGAGGTCAGGATCTGCAGAAGGAGGAAGAACAGGTGGTCGCGCGTGCAGTCCGGGTACAATGGCAAGAACATCTTCGTATGTTACGGGGACTTGAAGAGTAGATAGATAAATCTCGCGTGTTTCCTGGGTAAAGCTATTTGCTTCGGCCGTAGAGTTTTGATCATCAACTATAACGGTTTCATCAAGCGAATCGATGGTCAAAACGGTGTTGTGAAGTGGCTTGACGGCCAGCCATGATGGATTGACCGCATAGCGAGAGAACGGCTAGGTTCGCTGACAGTTAGGCGCGCGTTTGAAAGGGTGAGAGCAAGTAAGGCTCCAAGGCAACTCACACCAAAGCCAGTTATGAGAACATGATAAGGTCGCACTTCTGATGCAGGAATACCGTTGGCATCGATGGCTGGCATCGTTAGCTTGAGATATGCAAATCAACCAACAAGAATGAGTTGCATAATAACCCATGATCTAGAACAAATATTGTAATGCTTCACGCGAGAGCTGGGACCCGGGACACCGCTGATAAACAATAAACGAATTTACATAAACAGACCTAATAATTACTAACATGCACTTGACAAAATCTTGTTATTCAGCTTCAGTATTTTCGTACGCGTAGAACTCTGTCAAAATTTTGATTAGCGTATCAAAGCTGATAGATTTGACTTACCCCTGCTCTGAACGATCACATGCCTTCAGGTGCGCCACCGTATTTGCCATCCCATGTGCTCACACCGACGACCAAGGCTTCCGTCTTCAGTATCTTGGTCAGTCATTTGATTTTCCCTAAGCATCATACTACTGACACTATATTGTTGAAGTCCAATATGTCTGCAGCCTGTTTTGGAGGAGAACATCAATAAACATCTGGACAGCGGCTGTAGTATTCATGTGGCACCTCAAGGAGAACCCTCATCTCGGCCCAAAAACACGGCACTTAAGAAGTTGGCACCGATATTCAGCCAGACTCGTGACAAACATACCAGCACTCTAGCTGACGACCCTTTAGTACCTCCATCGATGACCCAAGACACGCCCACAACCTCCAAGAAACGAAAGTTTCAGGTGTCATCGCTGTCGAGCAAACGCTTCAAGGACACGCCCTCTAACTTCAAGTCTTCCGTGCCTCTTGCGGAAAGGCTCCGCCCAAAATGTCTGGATGAATTTTTCGGGCAGAAGCACTTAACTGGCCCTGAGTCTCTTCTGATGAGTATGTTGGACAGTGGTATTATTGGTAGTCTTATATTATGGGGACCACCTGGGTGAAGGAATCCAACTATGTCATCATTGAATTTATTATTGACACACCTCGAGCTGTGGGAAGACCACTTTGGCAAGATTATTGGCACGGCACGTGGACTGCAATTTCAGGGAGCTAAGCGCTACTTCTTCTGGTACGAACGATGTTCGCGCAGTGCTCGAAGAGGCTAAAGCAACTCTTTCATTGACTGGAAGGTAAGGCAGAACTTCTCTCTCATTTTACTTTGTTGACTTGGCTTATGCCAGAAAAACAATACTGTTTCTGGACGAGGTACATCGATTCAACAAGGCACAACAGGTACTATTCTTCTGAATACATTCGCGGATGATTCTGAAGCGAATAAATAGGATGTCTTCCTTCCATGTATTGAGCAAGGCCAAATACAAGTATGTAATACAATGAAGACTTCTTGACTATTAACAAAATGGAAGATGATCGGAGCGACAACCGAGAACCCGTCATTCAGGCTGACAGGCGCCTTGTTGAGTCGTTGCAGGTGAGTAAAGATGTGATGTTTCATTTCAAGCACCAACTTTTGCAGAGTGTTAGTACTTGAGCGCTTAACAGATGATGATATCCGAGGTATCATCTCCAGTGCTGTAGAGCGAGTCTTGGCATCTTCCCCTCGTGACTGTGAACAGCCGGAAACTGAAAGAGCGGCTAGCCCGTCGGTGGGTACAGAACCCATGACGTCGCAAAATTCGCTGTCTCGGTCTCAGTCTCAGTCATCGCAGGCGCCTATTAGTTGCGATGGTCCACGTCTGCCGTACGCTCAACTCACAGACCGTGTCATCTCTTCCATTGTATCTCTTTCTATAGGAGATGCACGGACTGCGTTATCTTTGTTAGAGCTTGTTCTGGCTTCTAAACCAGATAGAGATGAACATGCCCTTCTCGCATCATTACGCCGAAGTGTCTCTGCTTCTTACGATCGTGTAGGGGAGAGCCACTACGACATGATTTCAGCGCTTCACAAGAGCATTCGCGGTAGCCAGGGTAGTGCTGCCATGTACTGGTTAGCACGGATGCTGACAGGAGGAGAGGACCCGTTGTATATCGCGAGAAGATTGGTAGTTTGTGCAAGCGAAGATATTGGGCTGGCTGATGCGCATGCCCTTCCTTTGGTATGTCAACAAATAACTCAAGGCAAATCCCAATCGAGCATTTACAGGCAATGGCAGCTCTTCAAGCTTGCCAGGTTATTGGTATGCCCGAGTGCCGAATCAATCTAGCACACTGCGTAGGTTATTTATCGGAAGCGCCGAAATGTACTCGCGCGTACGAGGCATACAACCGAGCGGAGGTAGCGGCAAAGTTAGACCCGACAATGCCTGTGCCCATGGTGGCCCGTAATGCTCCGACAGCCCTCATGAAGGAACTTGGCTATGCGGAAGGCTATAATTATAACCCAAGTTTTCGGTGCGTCAACACCTTCCGGAATGCTCGCTGAAGTATCGTTTAACTCTCCTATATCCACAGGCACCCCGTGCATAATGACTTCCTCCCGATTGCGTTTCGCGGCGATAAATTTTTAAAGGAGGTTGAAGATCTGTCGGACAAGGTTTGGGATGAGCGGGAGTTAGTGCGTTGGGAGCAAGAAGAGAATGGCGGACGGTTATGGAAAGGTCGTTCTTCTGTTTAACACCGTGATTGAACTCTGCGTCGTTTGGCTGTTGTCGATCCCTTCTTCGTTGCTATGCCGGGTAACATTGTAATTGAAAATTCTCCACGCTCAAAAGAATAACATACTCATTCACACGTTTCATGTCCTCAGCACAACTGTCCATGCGTATGCGAGGGTGGAAAACTTTTTTTGAGCAGGCGGCAAGAGAAAAGGTACTGTTGCATAAAATTTGAAATGTAGAGTGGGTCGTTGCTGGAGCACGCGGCTTTGTGACATTGAATGACAAATACAATGTGCACCCAACCCGCTATGCACATGCGCCGCCTGGTCCAATTGGTTCCGTGCAAGATAACATATGTGGTCCGGCTGCCGGTATTGGTATTACCGACTCACTCACGGTGCATGAGCTGGGGCAATCCTGCCGGAAAGACATGAAAACGCAATGCTCTGCTGGTATGAAGCCAATTTAGTAGCTGCTCAACGGTAAGTTCCCCCAGGCCTGTACTTTTGGAGGACCAAAATGCCGAAAAAGTTTATTTCGGTTATACTCCAAGGCACCCTCTTATCTCTCACACGAGACATACTCAGGACTCCACGCGTACTACATGTCCATACACGGGTCCCATAGACATGATCGTACCGAGCAATTGGACTTCCGGTTACGAGAATAGTCGCTTATCTGCGTTGCAGGTAAATACATATAGTTGTGCTAAAACTTCTCGTGCAGTTTGTGCAGTACTGTCTTGTTACGATGAGCTTGACCGCTGAAGGAGCGATCAGCGGGCACGATGTGCCCAGCGAGAAAGCTCTTAGCACTAGTGACAAATCGTTCGATGACAAAGGCGACGTCGAAACTGCAACAGTCGATGCTGACAGCGAGGAAGGCGTGCTCTCCGATGAACGTGATATTGCTACGCACGTCATCTCGGTGGACGACGATCCTTCTCTGAACCCGTGGACATTCCGTTCCTTCTTTATTGGTCTTGGTCTCTCAGCCTTTGGTGGAGTACTCGGTGAGCTTCTTTGAATTTGTTTTTATCCACTGTGATCCTCATCAATGTCAATTTATAGCGGAAATCTATTATTTCAAGCCCGTGCGTAGTAGAACAAGCATGTCAACTTTATATGCTCTTAACATCATTGTCACAGCAAACGGTTTTAGTGTCATTGATGTTCCTTGCAGTCGTATCTTATGTTCTGGGCGTCTTCATGGAGACTTTTATTCCTCGCCGCGGATTCCTGCGCTACCTGAACCCTGTAAAGCAATTTACCCACGTCCGTTGCTTTATTCTAAATATCTTTCCCAGGGACCATTCAACAAGAAAGAAAATGCTTTCATTGTGATCATGGCAAGCGCTTCTGCCAACTCCGCCTTAGGTACCGAAGTTCTTGCTGTCCAGCGGTCAGTGAGCATTACTCATATTGACGGAATTTACTTATCTTTGCTAAAGATTGTATTACAACATCACGCCCAATCCCGCTGCTTCGATTTTCCTGCTCTTCTCTTCTCAACTTCTTGGGTACGAGAATGTTTCTTCAAGTTCAAGCGGACGCTAACAAAGTTCTTAGTTATGGAATTGGTGGCATGATGAGAGGTATGTCCACAATTGAATCTCTTATTGAACTCGGTGTTTACATACCTATACCAGGCATCCTGTTGTATCCATCAAAGATGTTATATCCTACTGTGCTACCATTGTTGTCCATGTTCGATGCTCTCTACGAGGGCGGGATGGAAGCGCGGAAGAAGCTCAGAGTCTTTTACATGGTGTTTGCTGCGTAAGTTTAATATTAAAACCGACAATGATCTAGCATGCTGATCGACTCAGTATCTTCATTTGGGAGATTTTCCCAGAATGGATATTCCCGCTTCTGACCGGGTTCTCCATCATCTGTCTTGCAGCTCCGAACAATGCTGCCGTCTCGCGAGTGTTTGGTGGCAGCAACGGAAACGAGGGTCTGGGACTCCTGTCTATATGCTTTGACTGGCAAGTGAGTGTGAATACGAACTTTGAAAGTGGATTGTATTACTGACGGGATCTGCCACAGTATATCTCTGGCGGGGTGAACCCTATGACTATCCCGCTCAAAGCACAAGTATGACCTTTTTCCAAATCCGCGAGCCAGACGCCTTACATATTTCTTGAACAGCTCTCGAATTTCCTGGGCTACATTCTTTGCATGTGCGATCCCTCCGCCCTGATTCAAGACCTTGCATTGACTTACGTCTAGGGTCGTGTTTTCTGCTGTGTATTACAATAACATCTGGAAGGCCCAGAACTTCCCATTCGTTAGTCCACGTTCACATTTAACGGCAGAACATTGACGTCAACTCCCCACAGCTTTCTCAACTCTTGTTCTATGAAAACGGAACACAGTACGATCAAACACTTATTCTCAATGCCAACTATGAAGTCGACCCCACACTCCTCGCTGAACAAGGCCTACCTTACTATTCCAGCACTTGGATCGTCTACTTGCTGACCTCAAATTTGGCAAGTTCACCAAACGTTGGTAACACTGCGGACTGACAGTTTGAAATCCTAGGGTTTGGCGGCCACGTTTACCCATCTGCTCCTCTGGAACCGGGATGACTTGCGCTCTGCATGGAGCTGGATGACTCCATCAGGCATCAAACAAATGTGGGCGAATTTTGACTGGAAGTTTTGGAAAGCAGACGGAATGCGGAAGCAAGACGTCGATGATGAAAATATCGATCCCCACTACAAGCAAATGCTGAAGGTTAGTTTTACATTTCTGTGCATTCAGCTTTCAAACATGAACATCTCTGTAATAGTACCCCGATGCTCCCAATAGCTGGTACTTCGTCGTTTTCCTCGTGTCTTTCATTGTTTCCCTGGTGGTTATATACAAGAGCAATTCGACTTTGCCATGGTGAGTAGCTGTGATCGGAAATGCGGTCCAGGCTGATTAGCAGTGAAGGTGGGGCTTCGTTATCTCGCTCATGCTGGCGACGATTTCCATTCTGTTCTTCGGTGCACTCGGCGCGATTACAGGATTTGGACTCATCATCCAGCCGTATGTCCTTGAATTCGATTTTGATCCTTGATAACACAATTCGCATTCAGGTTTATCCAGATGATTGGTGGTTACCTTCACAGCGGGAAGCCAGGTGATTGCCTTGCTCGCCGTTAATATGTTTGATTGACAAATGCCACAGTGGCAAATATGTACTTCGTTCTATACGGATACAGTATGTATCAGTCTTGCGTTCCGAGAACAGGTCGGCTAACCCAATGTTACAGACACTGTCAGCCAAGCCAACCTACTACTCCGCGACCTCAAGATAGCTCAGTGTGTGTATATTTCACGCCGTAGGAGAACATGGCAATCTGTGTTGACCGTAATTTACAGATGCAAAGCTGCCACCTCGTGCAGCATTCACTGCTCAGATTCTTGGCACGCTGCTTGGCGCCATCTTGAACTTCTGTGCGCACGTCACTTGTTACATGACATAAAAACTAACTGACATTGCACACGTAGTCATCATGAATTCAATCATAGATAACCAACGTGAAATCTTGTTGTCTGTCCAAGGAACCAACATCTGGTCCGGCCAACAACCTCAGCAATACAACTCTCAGGCAATTGCGTGGGGTGGACTCAGTCATGAGCTCTTTTCCGCAGGCCAAAGATACCAATGGGTTCCTTGGGCATACCTAATTGGACTTTTCATCCCTGTTCCGTTCTGGGTCATCCACAGGTACTGGCCAAAACTTCGCGCGGATTATCTTTATACTCCAGTTATCGCGTACGTTCAGAGTTTCCTGAATTACTAACAGCATGTTCACATATTTCACAGCTACTTTATCGGATGGCTTTGTGTTGGAATCAATTCCTCCATTCTTTCTTACTTCGCTGTCGCATTCTTCTCGCAATGGTGGCTGCGTACGCGCCACCCTCGCTGGTTTGCTAAATACAACTACATTATCGGAGCTGGTGAGTATTCTGGAACGTCATTCGGGACCCTCGACTAATCAAGTGATGCAGCCCTTGACGGAGGCACTCAAGTCATGGTGTTCATCCTCTCATTTGCGGTGCAAGGCGCTGGTGGGAACGCTCACATGTTCCCTGCATGGTGGGGCGCGAACCAATCAGGTAATTATGACCACTGTGCCCCGTTGAACTGAAATTAGTGAACATGGGGTGACGGTGGAGCTTATCGCACGTATCATACACGTGTATATAAGCATGTTTATTATATAAGAATTTATCATTTAAGACTGTGCTGTTCTAACACATATACGCATGGTGCAGTGCTCTTTCCACACCTTCAACTACGTAGTTGAGACGAGGAACACAGGAAAACGAAAACGCCTCATTAGATGCGTGCCGCGGCTGTGGCAACATGAGGCCGCTAATAGTAAGAAGTAAGTGTGAATTGCTGCACTGCCACTAACGCTTTCTCACCCGATTTCGGCTGTGGCCCTATATTTCCTTTTGGCCAAGCCTAGCAGCGCCACTCACTTTTATTTATTTCAAATGGAAATATTTATACGGCTGCAGCCTCTACAACGTTCTCTACCCCCATTGCACAAGCACCTCTCCCTGTCTTTCATTTAACGCCGGTTTTCAGTAAGCTAAGCTATAGGTACCTCGCTACACAACTCCGTTGCAAACGGACAACAAAAGAATTTGTAGTCACAGCTTTCAACAACAACAATAACGGTCAGTACAATGGAACAATAAACAACACGCCTTCAACATGCAACTCATTTGGAGTATCCTTTATCATGATCCGCAGCTGAAAATACAGACTGGACAGGATCGACAGCCCGTGTATCTATCCTCACTTCTACCTCTACCACCACTGGCTGGTTGGTGCTTTCTTCGTCTCTCATGTTCGCCCGTATCGCCAGGTTGCGATTCTTAGCACTCCTTACATTCTCTTCATTGACAGCTGCTAGAGATGACTCTCTGTGTACGTCTTCACTTACGGCATTGCAATTGGAATATACCTGATGATTCGTACAGTCACTTCTTCCGTGACTTATTGCTCACCACCTGAGACTCTGCTCATTCAGCAATTTGACATCGCGTACTTCGCAAAGAATCAGTCCATATGGTTCAACATCTCCGCAGCGAGTGTCGTACGTGGCTCTCTCCTTCAGTAAAGCTTTACCTCATTTTTCTCTCAAGGATCCCAACGTCAATGTGACTGCCAATGTAATGCTGAACGTTTATGGAATGCATCCTGTGAACTTCACTGTCGATTTATGCTCGTTGTTCAGTGGTGCCCTGTGCCCATTGCCGATGTATAACTTTACCGGTTCCGACTCTATCCCTATACCATCTTCCCTTGGTGTTTCCGACAAGATCCCCAGCATCGCTTTCCAAATTCCGGATCTTGAGGCATATGGTAGGTTCTCGCCATATTAGACTAGACGTTGCGCTCATGTCTTGTTAGCACAATTGTCCCTCACAGAAGTGAACACTGGAGTCCTTAAGGCTTGTGTTCAGGCAACCCTTTCTAATGGCTGGTCAACACATCAAGTAGCCGTGGAATGGGCGACTGGTGCACTAGCACTACTTGCTCTTCTGTCTGCGTTTTTCTCCTCGTTTACGCCAGGCACCCTGGCACCCTTCCGTCTTTTCGATCTTCTCTATCTATATCAATGGACTGCATCAACAGCACTCCTGGATCTTAACTATTCATCAGTCTATCGGGCATTTACAATCAATTTTGCATGGGCGATGGGTTTATTCCCCGCGTCCGCGACCTCTCCCATTCAGACTTCCATCAACAACATGCGTCACCTCACCGGAGGCAACATGGCCGATGCCACTGGAGGTTCTGCGGTCGCTCTCGTGAACCGCAAACTTAGCCCATACAATGCCATGTCTTCGTCAACTTTTTCTGCTTCTTCGGATCAATATGCGGGCATCGGCACAGAGAACCTTTGGGCGTCTTACAATACGAGTTCGGCCAATTATGTCTCGGATATCTCCGTCGCCTCTGTTCAAGAGCTCTCCGCCGCTGGCGATGTACAACTTGTGACACCGTCATCTGCCAATGTCCTGCAGGCCGGTGTACCTATCTATGTCAACTCTGTTGGCATTGCCACGGCTAACTCTTTCATGACCGTCTTCCTGGTCGTCTTGATGATCGCCGCGACATTGCTTGCAGTCCTCTTCATTGGTTATTGCATCCTTGCCGCAACATCTCGGTATAGACGACGGACAGGAGGGTACATTGCTGACTGGCATCATCGATATTTTTCATTTGCCCGTGCCTGGCTGTTGCGCGTTGTGAGTACGGCTCGGCTTCCATTTAATCATATCCGCTTACTCATTGCCCTAGTGCCTGATAGTATTTACTCCAGTGGCAATATTTGCGTTCTATCAGTGGACGCTCAAGGATTCATGGTTGTCTATATTCCTTTCAGTAATTTTGTTCCTTGCGGTGGTTGGCTACATCTTATATTCTATCGTCCTCGTACATCGCCTGGCCCTTCGTTCAGCACCCTCTGAACTGTATACGCAACCTGATCTCCTAGCTTCTCATGGTCCTCTGTACGCCATATACCGCCTGGAGCGATTTTACGCGACTACTCCCTTGATATTGGCGATTTTCGTGAAGGCTCTTTTTATCGCCTTTTCTCAAGTCAACGGTGTCGTGCAAATCGTCGCAATCCTCGTTGTAGAATGCATGGTCCTTGCCTCTCTATTAGTCCTTCGGCCGCACAAATCAAGAGGTGCTGATGTCCTCGCAACTTACCTGGCGATTACCAGAGTACTTTGCACTGGTCTCATGATCGCTTTTTTGGAGAACTTAAACCTAGGGGCAATACCTCGCGTTGTGATCGGCATTGTGATAGCTGTTATCATTTCGGTTGCGGTCATCGTCATGTTTATCAACACGCTCGTGAACATGGGCATCATGAGACTTGTCCCGGCACACTATAGACGGCGGCCGGGTGCCACACCTGGTGGTTTGGATGCGGAGAAGGGTGCTGAAAATGACGAGAAAGACTGGCGGCCGCGGAATCCCACGCCGGAGCGGAACATTCCTCTGGATCCTGATGTCAACCAACCATATCCAGATAGCCCTTCCCAGACTTTGACGGACCATCAAAGTGTGTATTCAGAAGAATCAGGGTCAACAACGTTAGGTTCACTGCTCCCACGGCGGTGGTCAATCCAACAATCTCAACCCTCAAATCGCTCGCGGTCCAACTCTCAATCGCAGTACTCGACGAGTCAATCAAATTATTCACCCTCTCGGTCCAATTATATATCAAATGCATCATCACCGCGGCAGTCCATACCGCCTTCGCCGCTGCACACACAATCACAATCACATAGCAGACAGCCCACTATAGACGAGCGCCCTCCATTTCCATAGAACGTTCTTTTTTTTCCCCTTTAGATCATGTTCCATAGAGTTCAAGCACTTTCGCCTTCTCGCATTGCATATAATGATCATTCTTCATCTCGTTTCACTCGCATTCACTCACTCATTTGGACAAATCTGGTAATGCATGTAGATAGTTCATGATATGAATCATGATTCACTGTCACCTTACTTATCCTTATTTTGTTAATGTTGCTTTTTTGTTAGAGTCTTATGGGTGAATATTCGGTGTCGACCTAGTAATATATCTCGATGTAATTTAGTCTTAGACAGACTAGACGAATGAAGACAAACGTTCCTTCTAGCATGCATCACTATTGGACCTGAGGCGCTACCAGTGAGATTACAACAACCAATAGAACAGTTTCCCGGTTGTGACGTCAGCGCCAAAGCTCCATTCCTTCTGTTGGTTTGCAAACCCCACTTGTAAACAAAAACGTCGTTCGATCAAGTTGTGATTGATCAGATCAAGCCCGTACCGCACATTGCGCTCCTCATGCATGCATCATGACGGCAATACCCAAGACTATGACATCATGCATCAATGCATCATTGCATGACCAATGAGTCGCTCCGTGGCTAAGCGCTGAGGAAGGAATGATAGCTTCGCCACCTAATCAGCGCAAATTCACAAACAAACTATTATCACGTCACAATGACGTTAACTGTGCAGATCAACAACTTCGTCGTGAGACCGAAGAGAGCCAAGCGCGTGTTCGACGTCGTTCGACTTCCCTTAGGCACATGAACGGACACGGACAGCAGTGACCCTGCCGGAGAGAGTCATAGTACTAGGCAGCAAGCTTCGACATCATTAATGGCACGCACCCCTAATATGCTCCTTCTGCCATTTGGAACTGAAGCACTTTTCGAGATGAGAGCTAGCACAACGGCAAGCTACTGGGTAAATCCACCGTGCGCCGCATGCCTTGGTGATCATTATTTTGTTGCGCTGAACTGCTCCAGTACCGAATGAAAATTGGGTGGGGGATGAACAATTTATTTACAGCAAGCTGGAGCCCCATCAGTACACAGTCCCGAGTGATATATTGACATTTCGCACCACTGGACTGTAGGAACCTCGAGCCTCGAGGTCTCTCAGGTTCAAGCGTTTTGGGCAAAGTTACACGTCTGCGACACGCTAATCGTTATCGCATTAGAGTCTGAGAGTCTCGGCGTGTTCGGGTCCACAATTGAATTGAAAGAAGGTTATAGTTTTGAATAGATCACGTGACCGATACGCATGGGCAATAAACGTTCTTTACAGTTCACCGCGACACGACAACGATGAGCTCAAAAAATTCTTCGAAAAAAGCCGCGAAAGCGAAGATCCCTAATAGAAATTTGAGGGTAACTGACTTTTTTACCCGAAAACCAGCCCAAGCGCCGAGTTCGTCGGTTGTGTCGTCGTCTCAGCCTAGTCCAGTCGCGTTGGCCACACGTTCGCGTCAAAGCAACGCTTCAAAGTCATCACCTGAGACATCCATGGCAGTCTCTCACAAACAGACCATAACTACTCCTATGCTCTCCGCTTCGCGCACGTCCACTTCTAGTGGTTCCGGTACACTTCTTTCCCCACCCCACACAGCATCTAGAACCCGTTCTTCTACTTGTCAAACTCCGAAGGGTCCTATGGCATCGCCTCGTATTACACGCAGCCAAGTAGCACAGAACACCCCTAGGAGGGCCTCTCAAAAGCGTCCTCGTTCCCCAGACCAGTATTTCGGCGCTTCTCACCTCCTGAGCGCGTCTTCGTCCGCCAAGGCCAGGTTGCCTCATAAGCGCAAGAAGAAATTCGAGAGCGACTCCGAGGGTGAACGTCCAAACGGTGTTATCTATGTCCAGAAACCAGGCTCTCCTTTGAAACCATCCATACAAGCCCCTCCACTCGCAGGGCCTCACACCCCTTCATCTAGTAAGCTTCTCATACACAGTAGCCAATCTGACGAGATGGAACTCGTCGTTCCTGTACTAGACACCCGCGTTCTCTGTCAAGTCAATGAACAAGTCCACAAATGGCGCCAAACTACTTTGGCATCACCATCCTCATCTGTCATTAATGACAGTAGCCCCTGTGACTCAAGTGCAACGGACGCAGGCCTGCAGGTACCTGTTACTTCCCCATCAAATGACGACGCATACTTGCGTTCTGTCACGCCCTTGCATAGTGCACCTCCTGAGACGCCCCTTCAACCCTCTGCTTCACTGCCCTCCCCGCCTGACACCGCAGGTGTCCCGCAACTTCCCGCCACGCCCGTGTCTGATAAAGCAGGCAAGGCTGTGCAGCTCATTGCAAGTATCAAAGCAAAAGCATTTGCCGAAAGCCCCCTGAGCGACGAGGAGAAAACCTACAAGTTCCGCGAGCTCGATGAAAGTAGCGACGACGACCTCGAAAATATGACTCTCATTCCCGATAAGAAGGGCAAGGGCAAGAAGTCTGTCTCATTCCATACACTTCAATGTACCATATTTTGAATCCGAATTCTCTTTAGCTTGCATCTTCCTGTCCTGGATGGTATGGATGGTATATTCGACTCGCCGCTATCAAGTGTCCCATCTTCGGCACCCAAAGCCACCACCTCCTACAATCTCCGTAATCGCCGCTCTCCTTCTGCCTCCCCCACGCGCCCCCCTGTTCACACCCACAGGATGTCCCGAACCCAAGTACACATCCGCTCTGGCCGTACAAGCAAGCCTGCGCCGCCCCTACGCCTTCCTAGCATCGTCGTCACCAAGAATGCACCTGGACCCTCAAAGCTCAAGAAGTCCTTCAATCCGCTTGAAGCGCTCCTTCGCGAGAAAAAGGCCGCGGAGAAGCGCGGGAATGGGAGTGCTGCATTCCTGCGCGCCGAGGACGCTTTACAGGCCCACATCTATTCGGATGCGGATCTGGAAGATGATCTGAACTTGGCAGATGAGGGTGCCGCATGGCAGGCGATTCAAGAACACGCTCAACGCAAGTCGAGCAGCCCCGTTCTTGAACCACTGGAAGATGATGTGTTCATGGGCGAATACGAAACAAAAATTCTTGGCCGTGAGGCAGGCGAAAAGATCGAAAAGATCCTTGTCAGCGACAAGAGCACTGAGAACAAAAAGTCGAAGGAAAAAGTTGTGGGTGTGCCGCTCTGGCAGGAGGGCGCGAGTGATGATGAGATGGTTGTTGATGATGAGTGTAATGTGAGCTTTGGGGATGCCAGTAACCATCCCGTATTGGCACTTTTGCAACACTTAAGTGGGATCGGAGGTGCGTCCATATATCGAAGCCGGACTTGGAGACTTATCTTCCGGGTAGCTGCCGATCAGCTGGCTTTGACTCTGTCTTCAGGAGTGCTCGGCGCTCTAGGTCCTGAGGAGAAATCTCTTGTTATCTCTCCTCTTTTCGCGCTGGGTATGTTTTGCCACTGATCGAATGATCCATGTCTTTGCTTACCCACGTTTTGCGTCTCTAGCCATCAACGTTACTGAGTCCCCCCTCTCTGGCGCAGCATACAGTGCTCTGCATAGTTTGTGGAGCGCAACATCCCACACATCTAAATCTACGCTTCGCTTCACCGACATCGCTACTGCACTTGTTAACCTCGGTGCATGTCACCATGTAGCAGAAGACCTTCGCTGGACTATCCGTGAGGATGTACACCCGTTGCGTATCAGTTCTGAAAATCGTTCACGTGTTTTGAGTAAACTAGTAGCGCTAGTGGGTATTGCTGCTCGGTAAGTATCAATTATTTTTTTCACAGATAACAACGTACTCACGCATGATGATTCACAGAACGGAAAATCTTGTCGCAGAAGATATTCCGAACGTGCTATTGAGCCTCGTGGTTATTGGCCTTGACAGAACCACTTCCAACGAGCTGAGGGCTAACTTGCATCTCACCATTGACACCATTTGTTGGACCATCAATGTTTCAACTGTGAGTTCTCATTCCAAAAGTCACAGCACGTTATTCATCTGAGCATCTTGTAGCACCTTTCTATCCATCAACGACTTCTCAGCCATGCGTCTACGCTTACGCCAGCTAACAAAGCCCATTTTGTTTCGTTCTTTAGTAGCGGCAGTGGCCGCACTCGTCACATCGCACAATGGCTAGCATATGCGCTATTCCTTCCAAACAGTATGCCCTCTGTACGCATCTCTTCTACCATGTCTGGGGTTTGTTTCACTGACCCACGTGACCCATAGGATGCGCTCCCTCCCCTCGAGCCGCTCATCCTTCTACTTTCACCTGTACCTGGCTCTGATGAGCTCTTCGACGTAACAAGCGCAAACGCAGACTTTGAGGACCTCAGGCATTACTTCGCTATCATCAGTGTCGCGCTCGCAAACATCGAACCCTACGTCCATGAAGAGAACTCGTCTTCCCAGTCGCTTTCTCGTCAATCATCGATAGACGACAGCCCCCGGAAGAGCCAGAAGCCGCTTGCTCCCCTCGAACTACTTCTGCGGGTGTTAGAGGTCACGCAGGGGCGTATTGGTCAGTATTCTTTGTATGTAGTCAGTCTTATGCAGTATTGACGGTGGTTTTATGCAGTTGACACGCGTGCGGCGCACCTAGATCGCTCACGCACGAAGGCAGAGATGCATCGCCTTCAGATGCGCGTGTATTATCAACGCCAGGCGCTCAAGCCCGCCGCAGGGTGGACAAAGATGGCTACCATCCAGCATTACTTCGGTCCCAAGTAGCTCTCGGAGTATACCTAAGTCACGGATGCTAGGTTTACTCTCTTGTTTTCTGTTCTCTTTCCAACACGTTTCGTGCACGCCTCTCTTTTCCACCATGCGACTTCATGTGGAATGTTAACCCTATTCTATACGTATCCACTTCTTCTGCGTAATGCCCCTTGCGTCGTCATGTTTTCCACTCAGGTGATGCTTTCCTTCAACTGTATGTAGCTACCGACAATGCTACTCCGCGTCTCCTCGCCTGCTGCAGTAACATATTATGTCCATTATAGCATGCCTATTGTAGATGAATCTGCTGTCAACCAGCTTTAAATCGTGTATGCTCTGTACCCTCTACCTTCCTTCGTATTTGTAGTCTGCTCTTAATGCCTTCTTTTCGGTTTGTGACACGTCAATTACTCGAATCTTTATCGTATGGGTAGTAAACGCGCATACAAACAATACCAAGGCCGCATCTACCGCATTTTCCACAACGCATGAGCCTCATTCATCTGAGCCCAATGAGCTCCCAGCCTGCCCGAATCCCTTCTTAGCAGCCAGCCGTGGATCCACATACAGGTCATCCGAGTCATCGTTGAGGTCAAGCTCGATATTCCATGCTGGCGACAGCTCACGTGGAAGTGGAGGCCCGGAAGATGCGACAGGCGGAGGAGTGTCGAGGTCGAGTTCTATGTCCCACACTGGGCTTGGGCTGCGTTGCGCTGGTTCTTTTCCTTTTCCTTTGCCACTTTGTGCAGGTGCCAAGTCAGATATCGTTTTCGAACCTGAGGCAGCATTAGGTTCTGTCACGTCATTGGACGTAGACACGACCTCGTCGCCAGCGCCCCGTGTGACTTGCGAGCCCACAGAAAATACAGCGCTGGTAGCACGATTTCGAAATGGTTTGTCGAAGGCGTCTTTGATGCGACGGACTTTTACGGGGCCAAAGCCTGGTAATGTCTGGAGGCGATCAGATGGGGCGCGAGCTATGTCGGCGAAGCTCTGGCCCGCCAGCTAAGTACGTTTCAAATCTAAATGGTGCAGAGATGACACACCCCAAGTGACGAGCGCAACGTCTCGACGTCGGTTTTGTTCACCTTATTGATGCTGGTGAGCGCGGTGCGGAGGACGGCATTGTAGTCCTTATCCACGCGCTCCTTGATAAGATCTGGTGACTTGTGCTCAAACTGCTTGAGTGTAGAGATGTACTGCCCTGCTTCTTCGATGCTGCAAAAGTGAAGCGTTCAGTCGTCTGATTAATCACGCGAGCTACGAACGAATACCTCCATGCGACGATGATGGTGATGTTATTGATGAGACAGACCTACATGGATTGTTGTGAAGTTGAGAATTGACGGTCATGGGAGGGGGAAGACCTTGGTAAGCTCCCGGATTGGCTCCTGATGCTCGCTCTAGGTGAAGGAATTTAGAGAGCTCTGGGTGGAAGTTCGGAGAGTTACCTACAACATCGCACATGATAAGCAAAATCCTGAGATTATATGCAAGTCCAAGTTTCTCTATGCGAGTATGAATGTATTCTGGGTGCAGGCGGTGATATTTCAGACTTCATTCCAATGTGAAGGGTGTAATTCAATGACATTGATAAGCAACGCGAGACAGCGCACCTGAGGAAGAGCACGCCGGAAGTACGCCCCACTTGGAAGTCGGGGACAATATCGCCAAACTCTTTGCCAACATTGCGAATGCATTCAAGAACAGGATTCAAGCGCTGAGGTTGTCTACATCAAAATTGAGTCAAAGGAATTGAAAGAGACACTAACCTGGTTGGGGTTTATGATGATATTGTTGCCTGTGCCAGGCTGTACTACGGGAGGTTTGGCTTTTTGAGCAGCAGATCCCCCTGCTGCTGCTGACACGCTCGTCATTCGAACGACTGAAAATCAGTATTACATAATATCAGATCGGATGTCGTAGGACCCGTGACAGGCAACCGCGTGCATCCGAGATTCCGTATGGACTGACCTAGTGACTTCCGAGCTAATCTTACTTCGCTATCATCCACTGCAAGCATATAAATATAAGAACTAGCGTCTGTCATTACGTGACTCTTGTTTATCTCCTTGTTCGAAATGGACAAGCTACCTACTTACTCCGAGTCCCCACCAGTCGACCTTCCGCGGCTGGCAAGATGGAGGCTGAAGCACAGAATGGCATCAATAGCACTCACGTTATGTTTTATATCCGTAGCAAGCTTACTCTTATCTCTGTCCCAGCTTGCGTTTCTGGGAAAACAATCCGTTCAGCTTCCCCTTCATGCTGAGCAGATACTGCAGAAATGCTATATGCTACACGCAAAGCCTGGCCCACCTTCTAACTTTCACCAACGCACCGAGTCAGACCGTTTCGTCGAAGGAACCCACGCGACTCTGATTAGAAATGCGTCCATATGGACTGGCGATCAAGAGATCACGCAGGGGGATATTTTGCTCGACAAGGGTATCATCAAATTTGTTGGGCATGCAAGCCCAAGTATGTTCAACAAGTTTAAGGACTTGGTCACATTGGATGCAGGCGGAAGTTGGGTCACACCTGGGTAGGCGCGCACATGATCAAACATATCTCACTCTTCTCTAATCCTACACTCAGGATAGTCGACCTTCATTCCCACCTGGGCGTCGACAGTGCCCCATACCTAAGTGGCGCAGGCGATACTAATTCATTGAAGGGTATTACATCGTCTCACGTTTCAATAATGCATAAAGATCCATCTTCTTCGCAGGTCCTGTCTTACCCTGGCTCCGCAGCCTCGATGGGCTCAATACCCACGACGACGCCTACAGGCTCAGCATATCCGGTGGCGTAACTACCGCAAATGTTCTCCCTGGCTCTGCTAATGCCATTGGTACGGTCGCCTTGATTCCTCTGTACGGAACTATTAACATCTCCCATAGGTGGCCAGGCCTTCGTTATCAAGCTTCGTCCCACTGCAGAACGTTCTCCCTCATCTATGCTCCTGGAACCACCCTATACTCTTAATGGCACACATGTTGATCCGACCTTGCCACCAAGATGGAGACAAATGAAGTGAGTCTCCTTTTTATTTCTTGAAGCACATGCACTCATCCATTTCAATCGCAGACACGCGTGCGGCGAGAATCCCAGTAAGTTTTCATTCTTCCTTATCTCACATGTCCTTGTCAAATCCGAATTTAAGGTCGTGTATACGGTAACACGCGTATGGATACTTTTTGGGCTTTCCGACAGGCGTGCGTTCTACAGCCTCTCTCCTTGGCTTCCTTCCCATGACAACCCTCATACACACAGATATGACACTGCTCGGCAAATTAAAGAGCAACAGGACGCGTATTGCACTCGTGCGCTAGCAGGTGAATGGGAAGACCTCGGCGAGTTCCCGGACAACCTACAGTGGGAAGCGCTTGTCGATGTATTGCGCGGGCGTGTCAAGGTATGTTTCAGTGTCTCCTGTTGTGTAAGAGAATATTCTGATATCTCTCTCCTTGACATAAGGTTCACACGCATTGCTATGAGACAGTTGATCTAGATGACTTTGTCCGTGTGCGTAACGTTGAAGTGGGTGTGGTGCTATGGGTGCTGATGAGGTATGAACCATAGCTTACCAACGAATTCCAATTCCCGATCGCTGCATTCCACCATGCTCATGAGACATACCTTGTCCCAGGGACTCTCAAGCAGGCATATGGTATAGTGATCTCGCTTTGCTGACATCTCGTTGTGTTGATGTATTTTACAGGCCAGACCCCTGCGGCAGCCTTGTTCGCTACGAATGCCCGGTACAAGCGTGAGGCTTACCGCGGGTCGGAATTCGCTCCGCGTATTCTGGCCGAGAATGGGATTGATGTCGTGATGAAGGTCTGCACATTTGTGTTCCCCCTCTGACTCCCATCCTGATTTGATATATCGTACAGAGTGACCATCCTGTCCTCAACTCTCGCTTCTTGTTATACGAGGCGCAGCAAGCATACTTGTATGGCCTTCCGGCGAACCTTGCTCTTGCATCTGTGACGTCGACGCCCGCACGTATTATGGGGCAGGACCATCGGATTGGATTCGTGCGTGAAGGTTTGCTGCTATTTTTGCACAATTGAGTACACGCTGACATATTTCCAATACCAGGATATGATGCTGGTCGGTCCACTCACGGCATCTCTATCGCGGATCGTGACTAATTCTAACCACAGATCTTGTCGTCTGGGATAGCCACCCTCTTGCACTAGGTACAACGCCGCAACAAGTCTGGATTGACGGCATCCCCCAACTTTCTGAGCCCGCCGTCGCCTCCAAACCCGTGTCCTTCCAACAGGTTCCACGCGCACCAAACTTCGATCTCGAGGCTGCCGCGGCTATCAAGCATGAAGGACTCCCACCCCTAATGCCGAAAAAGGCAAAAGATTTAGTGGTGTTTGCGAATGTCAGTAGCATGTATGTGCCGGATGGAGTGGGTGGTGTGATGAGTGTGGCTGACATGGGAGAGCGGGGTGTGGTAGCCCTCAGGAAGGGTGTAGTGCAATGCTGGGGTGCTGCAGCTTGTGCGAGCGAATTCGCCTCGCAAGATGTCGAATGGGTCGACCTTGAGGGCGGGTCTATCGCGTGCGTTATCACCAACTTTCAACCCTATTCTCCCATTTCACCGTGACTTACGTAGTCCTGGACTTATCTCCTACGGCTCCCCACTTGGTTTGGAGGAGATCCAGGGCGAGAGCTCCACGCACGACGGCACTGTTTCCGACCCTCTCACCGGCTCTATCCCAAGCATCCTTGCGGGAAGCGAGCTCATTAAGGCTTCGGATGGTCTCCAGTTTGCTGGGCGCGACACGCTGTAAGCCATCTCTCGAATTGCCGCTATTTCTACTCTAACTCACATCCACGCTAAATAAAGCCTCGCCTACCGCGCAGGCGTCACTGCAGGTGTTACTGCGCCAAGCTCAGATGGCCTCATTGCGGGACTGAGTACGGCGTTTAGCACTGGCGCAGCCCACAAACTCGAGGACGGGGCTGTCATCCAAGATGTTGTAGCACTGCATGTGCAAATTGGTCACTCAGAACGGGGACCGAGTGTTAGCACGCAAATTGCAGCGCTAAGGAATATACTGCTGGGTGATAAGAGTAGCACCACACATTCTGAGGTTGCAAAGGTGCATTTCTATCCGTCTTTCTATGTGTTGTAATGTATCTTGATGTATATCTCATAGGGCACCATACCCCTGGTTGTGCAAGTTCAGAATGCGGATATCATTGCTTCGCTTATCGAGCTGAAGAAAGAGATCCGCACGCGCACCGGGACTGATATTCAGCTCACTATCTCAGGTGCTGCTGAGGCCCACCTTCTTGCCAAGGAACTTGGTGAGGCGAGAGTTGGTGTCATCCTCACACCATCCCGTCCCTTCCCTGATGTCTGGGAGTCAAAGAGGATGTCAGTGATTATACATTATACCGTGTCCACAAACTCATTATCTACCAGATTGCCTGGTCCGCCATTGACCAATGAGAGTGCTATTACCACCCTCCTAGCTCATGGTGTCACTGTTGGTATTGGTATCGCGGAGCAGTGGAGTGCTCGCAACACACGCTTCGACATAGCATGGGTGTGTAGAGTCTCTTTCATCAAGTCTTTGGCTCATCGTATGGCTATCAGGCTGCCCTTGAGAGTTTTGACAGGATCTCAAAGGAACAAGCTCTCGCACTTGCATCAGTCAATCTTGAGAAGCTGTTGGGAGTCAAGCCCTCTGGAGCGCTCGGCGATCTGGTCGTAACTCGTGGCGGCACAGTCCTCGACTCCGAAGCGAAAGTCGTCGGCATCATCTCAGCTCGCAGAGGCATCGTCGACCTAATCTAGATAGAGATAGGATAGCAGCAAGACAGCATTCAAGATAGCAATACACGGTAAGGATGATACCACGAAGCGCAGCGTGACGCGACTTTGATACTTATGAGAAGTGCTTATCGCGGCTTTCCTACGAGGGACTGTCTGATGTGGTCCTGGATCAAAGGGAGCCCTTTCATAATGAGCTTGATGGGTTTGCTCTCCTCTACGTTGATCAAATCAGATCTAAGCATGGTCGCTTCTAAGAGACACGAACCAATCTGAAGGACTCTGCCATGTCTCTTGAGAATCCTCGCTTCAGGAGCAAATGCTGGGTGCTCTGGATGGACAATTACGAGCGAGTTCTTTGTGGCATATGAGATATGGCAGCTGCAACGAAAAATGATGCAAACCTTGGAATACCATGCTCGGAGCTCATCTGCGTCCTTGGGTATCAACGGGATGTTCATGTTTCCCACAACCTGTATCACCGTATTGACATAGCGAATCATGCCGACCGCTATAGCAGGAGTGAGCTGTCTTCAAGTATGCTTAGAGTACAAGATACGTACGACGGCTCTCCATAAGCTCCATAAGTGCATGACAACCGGGGCCATGTCCAATGAAGATTATGTTCTTCGCTCCCGAAAGCCTGAAGAAAACTTAGCTTTTAGAGCTAGGAAATTCATGGAGATAGCCAACTGTATATAGTTATCCCATAGGTAAGTAAGAACATCCCTTGACCATGACTCTACGTGTTTGTGGCCGCGCTGATAGGCTATATGGTCAATACTATAAACATGATCACTAACATACGTACCGGCAGAGGCGAGGCAAACGGTCTCGGAAAGACATTGACATCAAGCAGAGCATATTTTTCCTTCGTAACCCATGAAATGAGTTCCTTCGAAAAGTCGATCTGGGACAGCATGAGTTGGATAAATGTGCCATTAATGATGGGCAGCTGACTAGGTAAGAGTTCTCCATCTGCACGTCGCACGTAGGCTTTCCGTCTAGTTCTATGCGCAGGTTTCCGCTTTAATAAAGTCAGCAATAAACAACGAGACCACTCGAAAGATGTTCACAATTCATGGACAAATACAATAATTGTAGGATTTTGTAGAAAGTCACTCCTACATTTTGCTCAGTCCAACAAAGTAGTAATAAATCAGACTACGCACGTGCACATAACTTGAGAGCCGAAACGCTCTTCAAACATCTTGGTCATTAATGGAACCTGGAGCATTTGGTATTGCGTATATAGAAAGTGTTGTCTGTGGCCCTTAAGAATTTCTGCAAGGAATGCATGAAACACGAGATATGCGACATGGCATGGAAGGAAATGCTTACCTGGGATTGAGAATGATATTTCATCGACCTCTGTGAGTAAGTTTGTATGAGCACTCGACTACTTTCGGATGTGAGGAGACAAACCTTCGCGTGGTTCACAGGCCTTGGGGTTCACGCTCTTCCAGTATTTGCTCTGCTCCATAGCGACCTGCCAAACCGTTTCTGTTCCTGCCTCAGACGCAACCATAGGGGGGAGCTCAGGAGGAGCCTCGCCAAGAAGCACGCGAGCAACTGCGAGAGAAGAGTTAGATATGGAATCAAGGTTATAGCCACCCTGTGGAAATTTGAATCGGAAACTCAGAATGTCACAAATTAAGCAGCGTCATCAGTAAACTTACCTCTAAGGCGACGACTAGATTTCCACCGGCGAGCCCCGATAGCATGTGTGTCATGTGTGCGTATCCCGCCGGAGAAACAAAACATTCGCCAAGATCATCCCCAACAGCAGCGTCAAAGCCAGCAGAGACTTTGTAATATTAGCCCATGGGTGACGTGAAAAATAAAAGAACACACTAATCACTAGATCTGGAGCAAATTCCATTCCTATTGGCATCACAATTTGTTGGAAGGCATGGATATAATCCGCATCTGTCATGCCCTTCTTCGGCCAAGGTATATTGACAGAGCTGCATTCATCAATATCTGTGAAGCTGGGCGGGGTGTTAACTTACTAGCCAAGACCAGCCCCTTCACCACATGATTCAAGGCTGCCAAACGGTCCACATGGGTAAAATTGCCCTCGCTCATAGCGATGCAACGAGATGTACAGAACAGAGGGGTCATCATTGAAAGCACGCTGTGTTCCATTACCTACACAAGCATTTGTATGATGAAATCCATTCAGTAATTGACATACCATGATGTACATCCCTTCATCAAGAGTGAGAATACGAATAAAAGAAAGATCTTGAAGACCTACCAATCGAGTATCAAGATCTTTCTGACTGGTGTCAGAAACTGTGTAACTTTTGCAGCGACAGCGACATTGTTGAAAAAACAAAAACCCATGTGCTCCTCGGGCTCAGCATGGTGCCCGGGGGGTCGTACTATTGCAAAGGTCTTCTTCAGCTCGCCACGAGCCACAGCGAGACATGCCTCAATCACGCCTCCACAACTCAAGCGCGCAGCTCGGGTAGTACCGCTGGTAACGTACAGAGATAGGGACTCATAATAAGCTTCTGATTCAAAAATTTCGGACGGTGTCATTGCTGAAGAAGCAGGTAAATTCTCGAAGTAAGCAATATATCTTATGCGTGAAACACTAGTGCGGATACGATTTACGGGCCGCCACTCACATTGGATTGCAAGGACCTTGTGCCAATGTTCTTGAGAATGGACAAGAAGGGCTTCATCTCGCTTTACAGGTCGAATCGGGATTTGTTTCATTTTCTGCAATAAATTCGCGTCGCGAATTGCCGTTCGAATTCTTGATATTCGTTCTGGCTGCTCCGGATGCTCCCCAGTTGCCGATGAATGGAGCATCATGTCCTGAGAATAGACATAACCGACCGTGAAATGTGGCAGACGGTGCGGCACGGAGGAGGCACGTTGGACAGGGCTCGATGAACGTTGGATGGATACTTGATTTTGGTGATATTCTTCTCCATCCACGTCCATTGAAGTTCCTGCAACTTGTCCGTTCATGGTAAGCTCAGTGCCAGCCGCGCTCGATAGAGCTCGGAGACTTGTTTGAAAGAAGAATGAAAGAGATAAAATCACTGTAGATCCAAAACCTTAGTTTATAGACAAGGAGGGCAAGTGGACAAAGCAAGACCAAACACCAGTGAACCTGCCACTGTAACCAAAAAGAGGGTATCGTCGGCGAGGCACATGACTGAACTATTGTCAAACTACATGTACCATGTGCAATCAGCACCGCTAACCTGATTTCCGCATCAAGATCCCAGGACTAAGCTAGCACTATTAGGTGAGTTTTTTTTGGCTTGGATGTCACCATAGTGATCACGAACGGCTAAGTCAAATTATCATGATGTATTCTTGCCAGCTACCCCGAGCACTGCGTAGACCGTACGGTATTCGTTGTGTTTGCTAATGAATTAAGTCCCGCCACGACTACGCTTCAAGGTCAGTACTGTGCTTCATTTTCATTCTTGTCACCATCGCCTATTTACTTACAATGTGCCTTCTCAGATCTTGTCAGGCTCCGTTAGCGCCATGGCCTTCAGCCTCAAAAATTACCTGTTGTATTCCCCGTATTTTTGTTTCTGCATACCAGTGCGATTGGGATTCGTGCTGTTGACTTGTCTGTCCTTCTTGTTTTCGGGTGTGCTATCTGTTTTGGTGTGGTTTGAACTGTCTCGTGCGTATACTCAGGTCTATCACATTACCATGATATAACACTGACGATGTTGTTAGATTCGTATTCATTGACTAGCAAGGAGAAATATTCCTTTTGGTCTGTGGGTATTGTAGAAACTGTATTGCTTGCTGTGTCCATCATTGGGTGCGTGTCATACATATCTCATATTCTGGACTGATTTTCACTTACTGGTGGCTTTCACATAGGTTCATTGGCGCAGTTGCACGCAAACAACGATTTGTCGGGATCTACGCGTATTTCGTCTATATCCATCTTCTCCTCAATGTCATTGTCGGCATTTACTTCCTCGTTACCATCCGCCAGAGCAACCGACAACAGATAGTTGATGAATGCTATCATGCGCTCTCTGAATCCAACTGTCAGAGCCTCATGAATGTCCCGACATACGTTTTCATCGTTGTTGTATCATTTGTATTGCTTCTTGAATTATGTGCGTCCAACGCATGCCCCTCTGCTCAATACTGATGGGCGTCTACCATCATTTTAGATGGTGCTCTCATCGCTACTAGATATTTAAACACACTCACAAAGCAGAAGAAGGTCGAGCACAGTCGCAGATTGGGATTATACCATTCAGTTGCCATCATCCCTCCCAGTTATCCTCGTGATCCAAGCAGCATGTCTGATGACATAGAATTGCTTCATCCTCGGGATAGTTCTGGCACCACTTTTTCTTCGCTTGGAGGTCCGTATGATTATGGTGACGACATTCTTGACATAACGCATCCACCTACAAGCTATGAGCCTGTTCCGACACATCACCCCATTATGCTTTCCCATAACCAACAGCCATCACAGTCGTCGAGCACTCCCGCCCATCATCAGCAGCCATCCTACTCAAGCGTATACCCTCCATCCAGTACTCCTTTACCTTCACGAAGCTTCCGTGCACTCCCTCCTCGACCGTCGAGTAGTGTAGTTACTGAAATTCCAGTAACACATATATCACCACAAGTATCAGATCGAACGCCACGTGCGACAGCAACCACCTCTGACCCCCCGTCGAGCTTCCCGTACGAGAGCTATGATTCATCAACGCATCCGAATGGTGACGTTGATCGACGATCAACGTATTCTGTTTCTACAAGCGCACATGCAGCATTACTGGAACATGCTTCATTTATGTGGCCAAGATTCTCTCCACCATCTAGTAATGCTCCTCTAGTTCCGGAGTTGCCACCACCATATCGTCAGTTTGGGAGATAGCATGGACTCGATGGAATAATTCCTCGATCTACTTAGACTTTTATTATTGATGCTTTTTATCGCTACGACACACTGTAGTTTTGTTCTATTGCACTTCGATGGACATTTTAGGCCAATGCATATTTATTTATCTATAATCGACAGACATCGAAATGCTGTTTTGAGGCTGTTGGACAACAGGTCCAAACATCGAGCTTGATGCCAACCTCTAGACTTAACAGCAGAGACAATACTTGGCAGGTACGAGCATAACGACTATATCTACACGGCGAGACATACTAGATGACATGCACAAGCGTCATGACGCCCAACGCCAGCACATCATCGACTCTGTACGTTTCATGTCTTTCTGAACGTCGTGCATGAAACTCACGCTGGGTCACACAGTTGCATGACCTATTGTTCCACTTGCATGCCGTCTCCTTCTTCCTCGCGCCTTCACTCGTACCACTGGTTACCAGAGCTATGTGTTGTCAAATCCTGTGCTACAAGCCGAGGGATATCGACCCCAAAGTCTCTCTGCGATCGTGGTTCCTGCTCACTTTCTTTCTCAATTTCCCAAGCTTTTGGTTGCATGCGCGGGAAGGCACGGTTGAGGGGCGGACGGTCGTGCTGGATTTTGTCGGAATGGGTGCGTTTATTTATTATTCCACTAGCTTTCATTGAAACCGTAACAATCATCTCAGAGTATGCACCATCTAAAATGCACCTCCTTCTACTTGACGTCCTCATCTTGGCTTTCCTATTGCTGTTGGAAACACTCGCGTACGAGACGTCGCTACAGCAATCATCCTCTATCACCTCCGAGGTTCTCCTTCGACACCCTCTCGTCCCCACACCGCCACTCTCATACTCGATCGAGGATGAACAACCGAAACCTTCCCGTAGTCAACGAACATACATAGTAGACCTGCGCCTTGCGCCCCTGATAAATCGCATACGACAGCCGGCTCCAGAGGTAGTAGAGCAACCTATCGAGGCACTTCCACTTCCTAATACCACCAACATCCCCGTGATACCCCTCCGTATTCAGGCATTCATGAGGACCAGAGGGCGTCCATCGCAGCCCGAACATGGTTCCACAGCTTCAAATGGACAGGCACAAACTGAGACGGAGCAGAGGTTACCAGGGAGTATGGGAACCGAGGATGTTGACTAGTTTAGTGTATGTATTTTAATGGCATGGCTTTCCACAAGGACCCAAAACTATGTCATCTCCCGGACGTCTCATCTTCGCATGTATTTAACTAGGCATCACCATTTGCGTTTCATCTTAAGAAATAAACAGGGTCAGAAGATACTTTCTTTATCACCACGAGGAAGACATACAGCTTCACGCAAACACTGCCCAAACTTTTCAAATTCTTGTTTGCACGAATCTTTGCGAACATCTGTATAAGCAGCAAGCATGCATTTTCCGTATATTGTTGCGTGTGACGAGCATGTGGTAGTCGAATGCAGTGCTAATTGCCTGAGAGGCGTCGTGCTTGTCTTCGCTGTCTGCATGGCTGGGAGGAGCAGCACCGTGACCGGCAATTTGAATCGCTGATTATATAATCAGCGACGGCTTTGAACTTGAATGCCGTAAATTATACTTTAAACGGCGAATAGCGGCTTCGGAAAGTACTTCCACTGATCACAGTGCACTGACAAAACCGAATACATGATGCAGCTCTAACCCACACACCACCACTACAAACCACTAAGGGCTTCAAGTCATCCGACGCTCAAAGCGCGGTATACGACAGTCTTTCAAAGTCCTAGTTGTACCGTCGTCGAACCTAAACTGTCAGCGTCACTGCAACATGCTCAAAATTTACCTCCTGGTTTCTTGCGTCTGCGTGCTCATAGTCGCAGTCTTCTATACTTTCTACTGGAACCGCATTATTTCTGGATTTATCAGTCTTCTCCTCCGAATCAAGTACTGGCGACAAGGAGGTTCCAGTATATGGGTACATATCGGTCAGTTTTTCATTGCACTCGACTCATTGGCACCACTTAAGGTATAACTCAGGATCCATACACCTCTCAATCCTCGCGGGACGCATACTGCTCAAAGATGTCAAATATCATTCCAGCAATATGACCGTCAGAATTGTGACAGCTCAAATATCTTGGAGATATTGGTTGCGTGTCCCAGCTACTGAGGATGATCTGAATCACGCTCATGTTGGTGGAGAAGAATGTAAGACTGACATTTATTTGGCCTTTGTGCATTGAATAACAAGTCCCTGCTCTGACAGTCAACCATACGTCACCGTTCCCTTCCTGTCGGATTAAAGTCTCTGTTCAAGGATTTGAGTGGCTCCTATACAACAAGACTGCAGCGTATGATCATATCATTTCCCAAATGCAGGCCAAGGCGTCCCCAAGTCCGGAGGTCTCGGAACCTCGCAGAATGTTTTCTCGTACTTCAGGAGCTGAAGGTATGTCATTACATTTACTTGTTATCCATCTAACCCACTTGTTTGATCGTAGGGTTGGGTCTCTACCCACCTCCTGCACTGGCAAATATCAAAGCCCTTCCCGTCATTCATGCTGCACTGGCGTGGATTAAACGTCAGACGCCCTACCTGGATCCGAATGACATTTTACCGATTGCACTCGAAATGTCCAAGGTTGCCATCACTTGCGGTAATCCTTCGACACCAAGTCTGTTGGTCGCAGAGTGTCATAGAGTGGAAGGCACGTTTGGGATTGTCCAGGTCGGCCTGTTCACCTTTGGTACGCATATGGATACTGACACTTGGACAGGCGAGGTCGAAGTGCGACCTCTATAAACAACTTTTGAATCTGAAATTCCAGAAAGTGCTTGTACAACTTGTTGAGAATGACAGCTACCAGGATAGCATGCCCATGATAGGGCATCGTATTCGCGAGAATGCAGAATCATCGAGGTTCGTCGCGTGTGTGATTAATGGCTTCGACTGATGACATTGCTGTGCCGTAATCAAGTCGGTTCCTAGAATTAATTCCTTTGGGTTATCTTCCATTCCGGGCATTCTCCAGGGTTTGGAAAGGACTGAAGTTATATACGTCTGGCCATGGCTCGTCCGTTCACGACTGCCGTGCAGCTGAGAAGAGTCCTGGGCCTATGCCAAGCAGAAAATCAACCAAGAGCATTGATGAGGAAACACCTGTTGGCGCTGACTTTACTGCTCTAGAGTATGCCATTGAACGGCGGATTATCGAAGCCCCCATTCTGGAGCTATCATATTACACAGACGTCGTCGGCGATGTGCCTGTTGCACAGGATGGTCCAAGGGGTATGGGATTGGAATCCTATGACATCGGCAATGGTGACCTGCCTCCTGAGTGGGGTATAGATCTGGTAATAAGAAAAGGAACCATTCGCTATGGACCATGGGCTGATCGTCAACGGTAACGGTCATTTTCTTATCCGGGAAGCGCGCTCATGATTTAAATTCTATTTCCAGTGTTCATCTGCAACGGACATTTTTCCCATCAACGTATCACGACTTGGAGGTGTCAAAACACCTTAAGCCAGGAGATAAACGTACTTGGACTGCAATGAAAGTGTTTATCGAACTTCGTGATAAGACAGTACTGTATGTTCCTTTCCGAGAGCCTTCAAAGGTAAATAATGGCAAGAGGCTTGTATCTCTTTGTTCACACTCTCTTAGAACTGGCAATGGGATGGTGTCAATGACTATCCGCGTCCAAGGAAGCGCGACCACGCAGCTCTTCATTGCACGGCAGGTGACAGTTCCTCAATTAGCTACCTTCTGCCTATGGTCACAGGACCCGACGGATATGAACCTCGTCTGGAGGTTCATCTTGATACAGTTTCTGTAACGTCGAGCCTTAACGATATCAAGCTCATTGCGGCTGAGTCGTGTCGCGTTCGTACATGTCCTACTATCCCATGGAGATCATGCTAAAAACCATTCAGGTTCATGCGTCATTTCCATCACCCCTTGTATGGAATGCCGAGCGTCGTTGGCCATTCTCCATATCTCTTTGTCAACCGGTTATATATCTCTTGCGAGACCACGTCAATATGTTCACTGATTTGACGCGGGACTGGACCTTTGGGCCGCCTACCGAATGGAATCTTTTTGTGCCGACTATTTATATGCTCGAGCTTGATCTGCACCACTTTGAGCTCAATCTATATGCCAACGACCAGAACATCATCGACAAGCCTCTGGTTAAGGGGGAGAACAGTATGTGGATTCTATCACTTGGTTGGAAACATCATTATTCATAAAAATTCAGCGTTGGTGATGATCCGTGCACCGCGTTTCAACATTCAAGTTAGCTTCCCGTCAAATAAATATCGACCTGAGGCGACGTCTATTCCATTCGTTGTCGATGTTCCAGATGTAAACGTTTTTCTCTCTTTGCCAAGGTGGAATACACAGTGCCTCTACAACTCAGGGAAAGAACATCGTATAATCCACGCAGCAACCTTTCGCATCACGTCATCGTATTACTTCTGGGCTGATGTTCAAGCTGACAACATTGATCAGTTAAAACTCACTGTCGAGGTATGCCTAGCATTCCCTGATTGCGTCCCTGGCTCATTGTCACTAAGACTAGTAAAGTCGCCTACAAAGCCCTCGGATGGTCTGTCAGGTACTTGATGGTACTTCGGGACAATTATTTTGGATCTTTCACCCACTTCTCTACGCTCGTGGAGTATCTTGAAAAACGGAGCAGATTTAATTTGATTGGAGACCCACTGGAGATGAAGCATCGGCCAGGCAAAGTCAGTGAACCGCCTGTGTATCTTGGAGTCACTTAACAGACGAGATATAGTCAAACTCCCTACAGGTTCAGGTATCGATACAATTGCAGTCCGGGATAATGGTTTTACCTGCGGGTTTACCTGGCTACGAAGTGCGTGTTGCAAGCGACAGATCATGCGATGATATTGGCGCATCTACAGTCATGGCGTGTTCAGTGCTTCAACTGGACTTACGACTGCATGACTATTTCATGGGTAAGTCAGCGTCAGACGATGAATCGTAATCATTTAACCGTGCAACAGATGTGTCGCTGAATCTGAATGCAATCAAAGGTTCTATCCTTGGCGCTTGTTCCGAGCACGCTTTCTTTGCCCAGGGACATCAACGTTACGAAGACTCATTCCTAATTGATGGTGCTGTCGATTCTGCTTGATCTTAACA